TTATAATATATTTTAAAAAATACTACAACAGTTAAACTCCGTTATACTTTTTAGTTTTAAATTCAAATATTTGCGTTTTCCGCCAGTTTATCAACTTTGGCATTGTGTTGCAAACTCTTTTTTTCAGGTTTTAGAGAAGGAAAGCTTACAATATCTTCTATCAGTATATCAAAAAAATGATTAAACGTCAAAAAATGACGAAGTTATAAGTTTGCAACGCAATGCTAATTTGGCGGGAAGTTCAAAACGTAATTTTTTGATCTTGATTTTCTCGAGATTTCTTGGAACTCACGATTTAGTACTTTGCTGCAGATCTTATATTAACATGATCCTTCTATATAAAAAGTTTGAAGTCAATGGGTTAAGGCAAGGTCTACTGTAACATTTTTGATTTTTTTGCTACTGTAAAATAATTTTTTATAGTTTATGATTTTTTTGGTTAAAAAGTCATTTTGTAAGTAAAGTACTACTAAAAAGTATAAAAATTCACGTAGGAAAACTTATTTTACTTGTTTTACTGCACTGTTTACTACTACATTTAATACTAACCACCTGGCTATTACTGCTTACCTAATGCTCTTTTAAAGACCACTTTTGTAAAGTAAGGTAGAACTTCAAAATTTTTAGCTTATTTTCTTACAATTCGTTAAAAAATTTGTTACTGTATCATAAATAACATTATCATGTCGTTATATAAACCCTTCTTATATAAGTAGCTCTTCGTATAACAAAGTTTTTTATGCTCCGATAAACTTTCTTTTACAAACGTATACGGAGCTTGTTACTGTACTTAAATCTATACAAAATGGATTAGTCATCCCACTTACAATACCGTATTCCAACGTGTTCCGCCCTCTCAACGTATTCAAACGTGTGTTATGATTCTGTGCAAACAAATGCATTATTAAAATTCCGAAGAAGGGGCGGGGCCACAACTCTGCATGAATTTTTTATTAAATTCATAAATAGATCCTTACTCAATATCAGATGGCTACGTACTATAATGGCAGGGGAGCGAGTTTTTATTTTATATTATGATGGGGTTAGGAAACGAGAAAAAATTTTTGGGCAGGGTAAATTTTTTTTAGGGGGGGGGAGGGGTTGAAGAACATTAAATTTTTTTTTGTTTTTTGTTGTAGGTGTGTTACTATTATTTATTTTGAAGTACTATCTACAGTACCTTGACCGTAAAAACAACTATTTTTTAAATTTTGGGTACCATCACGAAAACATTAACTTTAAAGATTCTATTAGGTAAGAAAAAAAGTACCAAGATTTATGAAAAGGTATCCATTTTTGCTTCACAGCAGGGTAAAAAAAACTATGTTTTGTTTCCAACCACGCCGAAATCACCATGTTTTAAAGTTTGTCAGACAAAGTTCACCCAAACTCACTGTTATCACGTTTCGTGGAGAAGTGATAAGCCAAATCGCTTTATATATAGTAAACAAACATGTCATACTAAGGAGGTTTCATTTTGTCAACAGATAGTGTTTTTGACCACTACTATTAGTTCTACGATTGACTATAAGGATTTTTTGATATTATATCTACAACAATATTATTGTCTCACCTTGTATGTCTTGTATGACTTCTATTTTTTGCAAGTTTAAGTCTAGTATGATATGCAAAATGGTTTATTCTTCAAGTTACGTTTAAATATTAAAAAAAACTTGTGTATTGTTTTTGTTTATTATCAATTTTTACAAAAACAGTGTATGATAATAGCAAAAAATGATTGTTAAACTGTCCATTACTTCTTTCTTTTTAAAACTTTTTTACATTTAATTTAGTTTGAGGATAAAAACTTGCACTTTAAAACTTTTTTTAAAATGAAAACACTAAAAAGTTATGTGAACATACATCTACCTTAATATTGTTTCTCTACAATCATAGTAAATAAGCTGGTTACTTTATAAGCACAATAAGGTTTTATTACTATTAGATTGTTCAAATAATTCTGTGCTCTCTAAACTTGACATCCACCCACTCTCTCTTGTTCTTTTCTGTCCTTCTTTTCTATACCTTCAAATAGAACTTGACGTCTTCTCCACCTCTATTCCTATTGGGTTTTTCAAATAATTCTGTGCTCTCCCGTTTTTTCAACCAAATTTTCAAACCAAATTTTTGAAGTTAGAGGGCACAGCATTATTTGAACAATCGAACAGTAAAATGAGGTACATCATCAAGTCAAATGAGATATATTCAACCCAGTAATATAGCTACTCAAAACCGGTAACATACATAGCTACTCAACCCAATATTATAGGCTGTAATCCTTGTAGCGACTGTTTAATTAATTTACAAATGACACAAAGCTGATCTTTAATTAACATTTTGTTTCTTTTTTGCTTCTGGCTGGTTATGTTCGAGCATTTTTGTTGCTTCTGATGATAGTTGATACCTATAACAGCGTATTTTAGTAAAAAGAAACAAAATTTTTAAAGTTTAGGTACTTTTTGTAATGAAATATACTTACCTATACTGTAATTTAATATATTCACCTATACTGTAAGTATTATATTTACCAGTCTTACATTCTTTGAAGAACTTTATATTAATACACATTAGACACGTCTTCAAGTATTTTTAAAATAATTTTAAACTTTTTAGTGTAACAAATTCCCTAAATAACAGGTTATCAAAGTTTAGTGATAAATATTGTTGACTACAAAGTATGATGACTATTGCTTGTCATCACAAAATATATATATGAAAAGATTATTTTTATACCCTAAGGGTCTGATTTTGTTTTGGTCATAGTTTACTGAGCAACATTCTTGGTAAAGGTAAAGTATTTTTAAACTAGTAGGTTGTTGAATAATTCTGAGCTCTCTAACTCTGAAAATTTGCTTTGAGATTGGGCTCAACATTTATTGAACAACATAATATTAGAGTAGGCTTTATAAGCTTTCAATATTTTAATTTGGTTTGATATATATTATAGTAGGGCCTTTTTGAATTCAAACCATCCGAGAAGGTACTACTGGTGCTCCCTCAAAATTCAGTGCTGTAAATTTAATGTTATTATGTTATCATAACTTATATTGATTTGTTATTGAAGGTGGTACAGAGTATTAGACAGATTATGTTGTTCTTAAGGTTTTTTTTAAATCTTATTAAATTATTCATTGTTTTTACTATACAGCTTCCATGAAGCTTTATAGAATTTGTATTATGTTATCATGAGAAGCGTTAGCTGTTATTATACAATGGTACAGCAATTTTACAGTGTTTTTTGCATTTTATCAGTTTGCACGGTGCAATGCAAGTCTGCACGGTGCAAATGCAAAACTCAAGCCATTTTAACCTTTGCACCGTGCAATTCACAATTCAAGCCATTTTAACCTTTGCACCGTGCAATTCACAATTCAAGCCATTTTAACCTATGCACGGTGCAATCGAATTTCCAAGCTTTTTTAGCCATTGCACGGTGCAACTGCAAAACTCAAACCATTTTAACCATTGCAACGTGCAATGAACTTTTGAACTTAAAATAAGCTAAAAAAAATAATATATTTTTCTAAAAAACATATTTACTGTAGCCAAATTAACCTTGTTTTGGTACTTTTGAAGACCCTTTTGATACCTATTTATATCTTTCAAAGATCACTTTTAAAAACACTGATTTTAAGTTATGTTACACTGATTCCTCTTATGTAAAGCCCTTTAAATAGTTCTAAAACGTATTTTTGATTACTTATTTTGTAGATTTTGAAATTCACATCAAATACTTTAGGTTTAACACTTTTTCTTATCAAAAAGAGTTGGTTATAGAGAGTTAAAAAAGTTTTGTCGTTTTTTATTGCAGAAATTTAGGGGAAATGACGACAAGACTTATTTTGATTATTTCTTTAGCCTTTTTTTCAAAATATTTTCAAAAAATGTTAAGATATCTGGTATAGCAAACTTCATTTCAAAATGCTTTTAATTTGTTACCTAAAATTAAAACAGTAAGGTTATTTTTAAACTCGAATCACACGGCATAGTAAGTGAAAATAGTCTGCTCCTTCTATTTTCGATTTCTTTGACGTCTGACGGCGTTTTTAATGATTTTTTATATCTGAACATGCCTTTCCTAATATGTTATAGTAGGTTGTTTAAATAATTCTGAGCTCCCTAACCGCAAAAATTTGCTTTGAGAGGGGCGCAGAATTATTTGAACAACCTTACATGTTAAGATTATCTGAAATTGAGTGTTACGGTTTAAAAAAGTCTTGTCGTTTTTGGCCGTGGAAATACACGGAGATTAGCGACAAGACTTTTTTGGGGTTTTAGGACATAATACTTTTAATCTTTTTTTTTATTTATAACACTATATTGTCATACTTCTCATACCTAACTATATATTAAGTTGTTCAAATAATTCAGTGCCCCAAACCCCAAAAATTTGCTTTGAAAAGGAGCTCAGAATTATTTGAACAACCTAGTATATAAATCTATCCATAAATGTCGCTAGAACAATGTAAATTTACATTACTTTAACACATACCATACACATTACATTATCTTTTACCTACATCAATAAAAACCTTATTCTCTCCCACCTACCACAATATCTCACCCCCACGTTGCTCTTTGCTCCAGCTTATTAACAGTTGAATCGCCATTTTTTATGAAATGACTGCGCGATCGCCTCAGGCGTTTCGAGCCGCGAAATTCTTTATCAGTAACTATGAAGCTTGCGCGTACCAATCACACTAACAACTTGGTGAACGCTTGATTATATTATATTGATTTTCATGCAAAATCACGTTTTTTGGTGATTATTGGTACTGATAAGGGCTTGGTTTTGTGCTGGAAGGGGTAGCTTTAATTTTTTAAAAGATAATTTTTTGGGAGGGGTAAATTTTTTGAGGGGTAGATTTTTAAACTAAAAAAATTTTTTTTGAAAAAGATTTTTTTGTTTTATTTTTATTCGCTCGTATTTTACACCGTGCAATAAAGCTATTTTAAAATTTTTAAAAGTTTAGCCATATAACTCAATATTGTTGTAGATAATGACTCTCAGCAACAATGTTATGGCATTCCTCAGCCGTTCCAAGTCAATGTTATTGATGTGCACTTTAGCCGTGCTGCTGGTTTCGAATTGTTTTGCAAAACCGTTGGTAATCGAAGGCGATCGGAGATCACTCGAGATCTTGTTAAGGTTGGTTTTTGTTCGTTTTATGCTTTTTAAAATATAAAAATTTTAAAATATGCACAGTAGGGCTTGCAAGACATGATAGGGCTTACAGGAAATGATAGGATATAAGGCATGTTAGGATATAGTTATAAGGCACGATAAGTTTGGGTAGGGTATGGTGGAATATAAGGTATGTAAGGTAGGATAAGATACTGTAGGATGAGTTTAGAGTAAAGTAAGATGAAGTAAGGTAAGGTAGGGTAGGGTAAGGTAAGGTAGGGTAGCTACAGTACCCACAATTTAAACTTGCAAAGCTCAATTTCAACGAAAATGTTTGATTAAACCGGTCAAAACAAACCGACTGATAACAAATTTTACTTCGAAATTGCCTTAAGGCAAGAAGAACGGAAACTGCATATTTAAACGTAGTTTAAAGTTATTCAAAATTATTAAATTCCAATCGTAATAAAATTAGCTATCAAAACATGATACATTGTGTTATCACATGGTTAAAATGGCATTTTAAGTGTTTTTTTAATTCTGTGGTATTTTTGAAATTTTAATTAAGGGACACATAAGAAAATTTAAAATTTTTTAAGGTTGTTGTTGGTAAGGTTGACCATAGATTATTATTATCTCATACCACGCAGTAAAAGCCAATATAAGCCTAAATATGAAGAGTAAAAGCCAATATAAGCGTAGATACTAACAGTAAAACTCAATACAAACCTATACATCAATATAACCCTGACTTTCTTTCAGAGCAGTAGACAACGAGCTAGAAGTACCATACGCAGACGACCTATCGCGAGCTCGTCGTGCAGTAAAAGCAGTACCACAAGATAAAAGAGCAGAGTTATTGGCTTATGACAAGAAGAGCTACCCAAGGATATGTTACTTTAGCCCAATCCAATGTTTGTTCACTCGAATGAGCCTCAAGAAGTAGTGGTTTGCAGCTCTAGAGATGAATATTGTGATAGCCTACTATGCCTTACAATCTGCGACAGCTTAGAGGGAGCGATGCTGTATAGTACTAAAGGATTTGTACTATATAGTACTATAGGCTTTGTACTATTTAGTATTTGACTATTCAGTACTATACTATTAACAGTACAATGCAATGTAATGCGGAACTGTGGTATCGTTCTATCCAGTACCATACTATCAACTGTAATATATAAAGTAGTATGATATTATATATGATACTTTACTATGAAGTATAGCACCACCTACAGTGCTCTAATGCTCTAATTGGTACTACCAACGGTCTATATTATAAAGTATGATACTATAGCAGCCTCTTCTCTACATCAACAGCCACTACATAGTACTAAATAGTACAATACTATCTACCATTTCTACTACAGCTGAGCCCAACTGTCATTGATATGTTAACTTATCTTATTCAACATGTTCTTCGTTTTCATACTGCTTTTAGTCATCATGGTGCTACTAGTATCTTCAACATTATATCTTATAGTATTGTAATTACAATTTGCACTTACTATGTTATAGTATTGTAACTTATTTTGCCTTTTATGCTGTATTGTTAGATTTTCAATGATTTCTCATCGCTTTCTATGGTATTATCTACGTCTTATAGTAGTTCATTATAACGTATAGCCTTTTCTTACAGTATACCCATCTTTTATCTAATACGCTACTGTATACCTTTTGTATACCCTAATCTTACCGTATACCTTTTTTTATAATCTAACCCTATCGTACACCCTCCTCCCCACTACAAATGTTACAGTACGCCCCTCTTACAATGAAATGTTAGCCTATAGGTCTTAGTCTACTGTCCCCCCGTCCTTCACTGCGCTTTCGTACCACCAACGTTCCAATGTGATCTCTACTGTCTTGTGCATAACTTATATATATATATTATCGTATTGTTTGCCATTTCTGTTTGCTGTAGTCGCATATCATTCGAATGTTAATGTAATGAAGAAATAAAGATCTCGAAGTTACGTATCGAATTACTGCGAAATCTTTTGGAGCGACATCCGATAGTGACAGTTTTTATAATAGTAGGAGGGGGAAAGGGGGGGGAGTTTGCAGCCTACGTAAACTTAAATATATAGCATGAAATAATACGTACTATACTATAATATATTAAAATGTAATCCACCCTACCCTACCCTACGTACAAAACCTTCATGTACTGATAAGTACTGTATAAACATGCCATCTCAGCTCATAGGTCATTAAAACCAAACTTTTTTTCAGCAACCAACCCAGACGCTAACCTAATGACGTTTTACTCAAATAACATGACATTATGTTTCAGACAAAACTTAAATTTAACGGAAAAGTGACACTTCGAGACTAACTTTTTAATCTTGCACACTACGTGTATATTCTTTGAGTCAAAGTAAATTAAAACAAAAAATATAACTAGCATATATACGTGCATATACATGATTAAACCAGATTTGTGAAACTTAGAATAGTCATGACAAACTTAATAACTGAAAAAGGTTATCCTTTGTATAAATAGATATAAATAGCCTATGTCATTTGTCATAAAAGCTGTTTTTAGGCTAATTATGAAGTTTAAATTAGACAGAAACGCCATTATTGTGACCTTTTTAAAGTTTTTTTGTTTTCTTTGTCACAGTCAGCCAGCATAGTCCAGACGCAAAATCAGCTAAGACACAAGGCAATCCAAGTCAGCGGTTAAGCCTAAAACTAGGGCTAAGGCTAAACTAAGGCTAGAGCTGGGAATAGAGCTAGAGCTAAAACTAGGCCTAGAGCAACAGGCAAGACAAGGCAAGTCAGCGGCTAGGACTCGGACTGCAGATAAGGCTAGAGCTGAGGATGGATCTAGGGATAAAGCTAGGCTCAGAACAATAGCTTGAGCTAGAACCAATTAGAGCTAGAACAAAGGCTAAGACTAAACTTAAGGCCATGACCAAGGCAAGGCAAGGCAAGGCAAGGCAAGGCGATTCAGAGAAGGCATATTTTTATTTGAAACACTATTCAAGTAACCACTTGTTTGTTTATGATATTAAATGGTTATATTACTTCATAACTTACTGTACATATAATATAATATTATTTCAAAACAGGTTTTTTAATACGGAAGTGTAGGTTTCATAGTAATAACTTGTTACTAATAACTATATGAGATTACATACGAAGATCTACGACAATTAATTGGCTTCTCGACTGTATGTATTATATTTATTAAAAATGACGGAGTAAACATTACGTCTACTGAGTGTAGACAAAAATATTGCCTATAAATTAAAAATAGTGAGGCTTGTTGACAAAATACACGTATGTTTATTTAAATAGTTACTACTGTAAAAATTTGAAATATTAAAGTTTTGAAATTTTAAAATTTGCATTTTGCACGTTTGTTTTTGTAAATATACAGTAAAGTATAAGAAGCTCCTATATGACAACAAACTTTTGAATTTCCGTCTAACACTACACAGTGCAATTTAAAACTTCTGTATAACAAAACTTCTTCATAACAAAAAATTTTAATTGTCCTAGCGATTCGTTATACAGAACGGTAAAAAGATACTTACAAGAATTTTGCTTGTTATTGTAAAGTAAATATAAAATTTTAAAATTGCTTCTAATTATAACTTTATAACTACGTCAATGAAGTACAGTAACTTTGCTTTTTTTCTATTTTAAAATAGTATGTCATCAGACTGTCATAAGTGTCATAACAAGAAATACTTGATGCCTATAATAAGTATTTTTTGATCCAAAAATAAAAATATTCACATTGACCTGAAAAAGCTTTTAACTTTTAATGAAGGTAGTCGTGGACATAAGAAACGGGCCAGCCGGCCTTGACCAAAATTTCTATCGGAACCGGACTTGAAAAATAGGCCTTGCCCGTTTCTCATGTCCAGGTGACCGACCTGCCCCGCATTGACTAAACATTTTCATTTTATATACAAAGTCATGTAAATATAAGGTCTGCGGCACAGTACTAAATCGCAATTTCCAGCCGATCTTGAGAAACTCAAAACACAATGCCAACTTTGCCAAATTGGCAGGAAACTCAAATATTTAAATTTTAAGACTCAAAAGCACGAGCCAGGTTTTTTTATGGGTACTACTAGTAGTACAAAGGATTTAAGAAAGACCTTTAAGCTGATTCTGAGTGGCAGAATCCTCCCTTTTAACGTTTTATTCTCTAAAAAAGTATGTCATCATACCATCATATGTGTCATAACATGAAATACTTGTTGTCTCCTTATCACTAGGTATAACAATACTCTTTTGAAACTAAAAAACTTTCAACTCAGACCGATTTATTAAAAATGTTGTAGTTTACGTAAACCAGATCCTTATCTCGCCTCTGATTTGTCATTTCGCCTTGAGGTCACGATGACAAACCCATTCAAAACGCTTGACCACCCGACCGGTAATTCGAGCCGAAAAGGTGTGTTGGTCCATTGGACTGGCCAACAAACAGGAAAACACAAACACGAAACGATGGTACGACGCGCTACAGCACCACCGCTCTAGCGCGAAATCAGAAGGCACGTCGCTTCGATTCGGCGTTCCCCTTCCCGACCCCACCACTCAATCTTCTTTTTGGCTGTTACGTTTCGGTGGAGGGGGCGAGGAGGTCGAAACTTGCCTTAACGACTCGTGATATTCATGTCATCCCGAACGGTACAATGAATAACTTGACGACAGTACGCGCGCCCAATACGGTGGGCGAGGAAGAGCCGGAGGTGTGGGAAAGTAAGCCTAATACTGTAGCTTTTGATGGTTTTTAGTTCTTATAAGGTCGTATATTGCTTTAAAATTTCAAAATTTTTGCCTTGCCGAGCCCTGCTTTAACCATATTTAGAACCAAATCCAGACTTGGTCTTTTTAGCCATAGTGTTAGCTCTAGTCTGAGGCCTAGCCTGAGTCCTAGCCTGAATCAAAGCCTGTTTCATAGCCTGAGTTATAGGCTAAGCCCTAGCTGAGTCTAGTCTTAGCCTGTAGCTTAGTCCAAGCCCTAGCGTGTGCCGAAGCCTAAACCCTAGCTCTACCTCTAGCCCTACCTTTAGCCTTAGTCTTAGACTTAGCCTGAGTTCTAGCCTGATCCCTAGCCTGTGCTCTAGCCTAAGGCCTGGCTTCAGCCCTAGCCTTAGCTCTAACCTATGCACTAGCCTGAGCAGTAATCCAAAGCTCTAGCCCCAGATGTAACCTTAGCCGAAACTCAAGCCCTAGCCATAGTCTCCTCTGCCCTACCCTACCTCATCTTACCCTACCCAATCTAAAATCAACCTATAACAATCATAAACTTTAAATTATAAACTACTGTACACAACTTTTCAGCATGGTTCTACGGTATGTTAATAATGACCATAACGTGCATCAGCAGTCCGCTTGGAATCGTCATGGTACCATTGTTAAACAAAGCTCTGTACGAAAGATGTATGACATTCCTTGTAGCATTAGGCATCGGAGCCATGTCTGGCTCGTGTTTGTTCATCTTATTACCACATGTAAGTATTGGAGTAGGCTTGCTTTGGGGAATTAAAAAAGGCAATTTTAAACTAATTTTTGAACTTTTATAAAAGCTTCTTATCAAAGATACCATACCGATGTTATCAAACATGCCATTAACAAACAACCTTCTTGGTGTCCCTCAGCGTATTTTACAAAATTTTGAAAATTTAAACCTAATTTTTCGAAATTTTTGACATTATCATCTATATACCATAAATTATAGTACAATATTTAAAGTTTTATGCTACTTTTTAGTCCTTCAACATAACAGAAGTCACTTCGATAGATTATTTACAAAAGTGTTGGCTGATAGTCGGCGCATTATATGGGTTTTTTGCCATCGACAGGCTACTACAATGTCTTCTGGAGCTGAGAAGGGTAGGTTAATACTTTAGTCCGTCTTTTTAATTTTATATTCTGATGACGAATAGATCAAGGATTGTTTCTTATAGAAAATGTTTTGCTTGAGGAAAGTACAAGGTAAAATAAAGTTAATTTTAGTCAGAATACGTAGCCTTTTGTAAAATACTCGTCTTTAGTAATATAGGTAATATTTTGTAAAATACGTCCCTTTCTTTTCCCATTATCTACTTCATTTCCAGAGACGCCAAAACAAAGCCCGAATTCATGCCACAACGATAAAAACCTTATCACACGATCAGAAAAACGTGGATAATATCCAATTTGCCGACATAAATGGCAATTGCAAGCACAATGGTCAAGAGCAATATGAAAAGGACATTGAAAATATCAAAGTGAGTCCACAACAAAATTTTTTGTTTTAATAATATTAGGTTGATCAAATAAGTATGTGTCTCCACACAAGAAAAAATTTTAGGGTTAGGAGCACAAAATTATTTGAACAGCTTAATATATAATAAGTAAAGTAAAATTTTTTTTAAAAGTAAAAAAAAATCCTTTTTTTCAAAATTACATCTAAAAAATGACGTTTTCAGGACGAAATAGATGTCTCCATGCTCTCGAACAAATTGGCTAGAACCGTAAGTTACTACAACTTTTATTATATTAACTATGACATCAAGTAACCGTTTTTCCAAAACTAAATTTAAAAAAAAACTTTCAAAAAATGTTAAAAAATTACTTTTATCATATTTTTATCAGTGTAAAATACGTTTAGTTGCCCTATTTTTAAATTTTAAAGAGTAAACAAGACGTTATAACGCGTTAGGTAAACTTATGTACGGCCCAATTGAATTAAGCAAACTTATGTACGGCCGAATTAGAAAACTTCATTTTTAGTTCTTGAAAGAAGATGTGTTGCTATAGAATTTTAAAACCAATACCTTCCTGAGCCCTGCCTTAGCCTTACCTCCAAGTTCAGCCCCATCTCTAGCCCTGGCCTTCACCTTACCTTAGCCTCAGTCTTAACCGTAGTCCTAGCACTAGCGTAGCTCTAACACTAGCTATAGCCCTATCTTTAGCTCTTGTTAGCCTATCTCTACCTTTAGCCCCAACCCAGCCATAGCAATAGGCCTAGACTAGTCCTAGCCCTAAATCCAAATTCCAGACAATAAATTTCAGTTTTCAACCCGCCGCCGAATAGCGATCCTAAAATCAGAGCCGCTCGAAGGAATCCAGTACCAATCTCCAAATGGCTCCATGTTAGAAGTCGATGTCCATAGTCTAGCATCAAGGCCGACCAGTCGACAACAAAGTCGACAGCCATCACCAGCCACAACTCCTGCACAGTCGCCTGCTCCTTCACGTTCTACGAAAATGAAAGCTTCTCCGGCTTCTGATTCATCGTCAGATGAGATTCAAGTGGCAGTGGAAGTGCATGAGAAGAAAGTGATTGATAAGAAAGAGTTGGAGGTGGCTAGTGTTGCCTATATGATTATATTTGGCAGTGCGGCCAACAATTTTGTTGATGGAATGTCGATTGGAGCAGCTTTTAGTGATAGTGTGATCAGGGGGATCAGTATTGGAATGGCCGTGGTTTCACAGCAGTTTCCACAAGAGTTAGGTAGGTTATTGTACTTATGGTTCACATTATACTAAGCAAAGTTGTATATAAAGCAACCTAGGTTATCCCGAAAGTCTTAGCTTTGGACTAGGCTTAAAACTTGTCTGACAATTTGCCTTAAAGCTTTACTACATTAAGAAGCAAGTCTAAAGCCTTAAAACCAACCCAAATATCAAGCATAAACCCTCAAATAACCTCAAATTACAAGTTTGATATTCAGGTACCCTAGCCATTCTGATCAACTCCGGCTTAGGACTAAAAAGAACCTTGTTGGTACAGATCATCCCCATTATCATGAGTTATCTTGGCTTTGGTGCTGGAGTTGTACTGGACAATTTGGATGACAGCTACGACTCTTTTATCTTTTCCATATCAGCTGGAATGTATTTGTACATATTCTTAGGTACTTTGGTAAGATTTTGTCTTGTTTTCTGTTTTGTAAAAAAAGTTCTTGCTATTTTTTGCACTGTAAAGAAAGTTATTGCCATTTTTTGTTTTGTAAAGAAAGTTATCGCCATTTTCTGTGTTGTAAATAAAGTTCTTGCCATTTCTTGCTATGTAAAGAAAGTTCTTGCTATTTTTCGCTCTGCATTTTAACCATTCAAGCAAAAACACAAAATTTATAAAATTCGCAGCCTGCAAGTGACATATTATACGATAAAATCAGATTTTTTAAAACTGTAAACAAAGTTTTCGCCGTAAAAATTCAAATTTTTTAAAAATTTTTACATTTAGCTGCCAGAAATTCGAGATTCTTTCAACGAATTGTTGAAGAACGATTTGGCCGAGGCGTTGTTAACGACCGTCTTACAATTCACGGGTATCATCTTCGGAACGACGTTCATGTTCTTGATGAACATCACAAACGACGAGATTTGAATAATATTAATATTTGTACAGTTTATTCGTTATAAAGTAATTATTTTCCAAATTTTGAAAATTTGTCTTTTTTTTTAATTTTAATTTTTTGAAATTCGAAAAATTTAAAATTTTTTTTCAATATTAGGCTGTTCGAAAAATTCTGAGCCACCCCCCCCAACCCCAAAAATTTGCTTTGAAAGGGGGCTCACAATTTGAACAACTAATTTTAGGCTTTTTATTGATTTTTCAAACCTATTTTTTTCAAATTTCAAAATTTTAAAAACCCAAAATTAATTTTTAAAAATAAATTTTAAAGTTTTTAAAAGAATGCCATATTATATTTAAAAAAAGTTTTTTATTAAAGTATCATATCTTTCTCTGGATAAAGTGAATATTGGAAAGCAATAAGGAATCTGATTTTAGTCAATATCTGGCCACATTTATGTCATTTTTCATCGCTCAACCCATAATAGAAGCTTTGGCCGTCTTCTGTAACATAAATTATTATATTTTCTGTTGAAAAAGAAAAAAAAACGGTTTAAGATTGTTTTGGGAATCAAGTTATTGATCATTTTCTACTATAACATAAGCACTTTTTGTAGAAAAACCTTACACAAGCCCACTTTACTCTCCCTCCCCAAAAATAAAAAAAATTCCCTTACCTGTGCCTTCTCATACTCCTCCAGCATCTCCTTATCTCTGTTCGCCAATGCAGCCACAGCTTCGACCAGTAATTTCTTTGCATTCTCAGCATTCGCCTTCAAGGTTCGGTCGACCAAATCGACCGAGACCCCTTCAGTATCATCCTTCCAGCAATCGTAATCGGTCGATAAAGCAATCGACTGGTAGGGAATGCCCAATTCCAATGCGAGGATGACTTCTGGAACTACAGTCATGTTGATTACTGTGGCTCCCCATTGACGGAACATGTTACTTTCGGCTCGAGATGAGTATCTGGGGCCTTCGATGCAGATAATGGTACCGTTCTTGTGGTGAGGGATTTGTAGAGCTTCAGCGGTTTTGATTAAGGTCTGAAATAAGGTAGTGTAATATAAGAAGATAGTATAGGTTTATAAAATTACTGGCATGTATAGATAGTATAGGTTTATAAAATTACTGGCATGTAAAATTGTTCAAATAGTCTTACCTGTCTCAACTTCTCATTGTAAGCAGGATGACAGGGAATATGACAAACGCCCTTCAGTTCACCCTCGCCTTTGCCGTAGAAGGTCTGTTGACGCTTTTGAGTTCTAAAAATAGAGAATATCAATTTAAAACGGCAAGATTGTAAAATTACTAATCCTAGAAAAAAATTCTGATATCTTAACTTACCGGTCGATAAAAGAGTCGACAAACACAAAATCTCCAGGTTTTATTTCTTCGACCAAACTTCCTGAGGCATGAGACGCTAGAATAGCGTGTACTCCTTAAAAAATTTAACTTTATACCTAATTTATCAACATTTTTAATGTGTTTAGTAAAATATAACCCACCAGCCTGTTTCAACGCCCACAAGTTAGCTCTGTAGTTGATTCCAGATGGGTCGATGTCGTGTTTCTTGCCGTGTCTAGATACCAATACACACGGCACACCATGAATCGTTCCTTCCTTCAGCTTATCGGATGGCTTTCCAAATGGAGTATCGTACTCAACTTCACGAGCATTTTCGAAAATCTTCGGGTCTTCCAGACCTGTTCCGCCAATAATTCCAATCTGGAGGCAATTTGTATTAGAGATGCCCTAATTAGGCGTGAGAAACAAGCCGGGCCCACTTTTGAGGTCCGGAGCCTAACTGTTAGGTTCGGCCTGTTCCAAGTCTCAAGGACGGTCCGATCGTAAAGCAGTACCTTATCTACACAGCCCATTTCTCATCCCACGCTCTAAAAAACTATTTTTTACCTTACCTTCAACTTGCCAGCCATATTTGTCCTTTTCGAGCGAGTTCAAGTCTAAAAAGTGAAAATTTTACAAAATTACGTTTTCACTGATAAGAACAAGCAACATATCATTAAGATAACCTTCGAACTGTCTGTTTTCCTTTTTAGCGCCACTTTTTTCGAAGCAAAGTATAAAAATTTGAAAAAGGAGACTAAAAAGTTCATTTAACTTAGAAAAACGATCTGATTTTGGTCAAAAAGTCTGAAAAATTAAGTGATTTTGGTCAAAAACACTGTAGAATCAAATTAATTTATGTTTATATAAGCTTTTCCTACATTTTTTATTCAAGTACAACAACAATTGACCTTAATATAATCGTTCGTAATCCAAAAAGCAAATAAAACAAAGTAAAAACCCTTCACAACAAAAATATTACTGAACCTGTAACAGAAAAAGCAATACAAAACTACAAAAATCTGATAAAACTATATTTATTGTCCCAAAAATAACAGTTAAAAACATTATCTACTCCAGTACCTGTGCTATACTGACTTGTATGTACTATATTGATCAAGAACTCGTACGTGCTTTTCAGTTTTTCAAATAATTATGCGCTCTCTAACCCCAGAAACTCGTTTTGAGAGAGGACACAGAATCAAGAACAATCTAATATATTGATCAAGTACTCATCCATACTATATATATCAAGTAATCGCCAGTACTATATAAATCATATACTCGTACGTCAAGAAAAGTGAACATGTTGGAAGTAATTGGCAATAATGGCACTAACATGACCCTCAACCTCTGGCAATGTGGTACTTTGTGAATTCGGTAAAAATACAATTAATATTCGACCGGTCGACTTTTTGAATATTACCCAGATGTCACCTTCAAGTTTTAGGTTCACTTCGGTTGTGTCTGCGTCCGTGTCAATAAATTTGTCAAAGGCTACGTAGATGGCTCTGAAAATTGTGAAATTCAAGTATGATCAATATATTAGATCGTTCGAATAATTCTGTGCCCCATAACCCCAAATATTTTTCAATTGTGCAGCCTGCGTTTTCATTTTCGCGACCTGCCTCCGACTCAAACTTCTCAAAACAACCCAAAATTCTTCACTTTAAATTCATACCTAATAATATCCAATGTAAACGTGATTGGATTAGATGAAGGATACAAAGACGACAAACTCGTCTTAAAAGACTTGCTCTCTGTATTATAGTAGATGAAATGAAATGGCACTCCTGATATCAATGGTTGTGTCGTTTCTGTCACTGTCTCTGCCATTTCCGATGCCAGCTCACATAAGCGTGGAGCCAGAAAGAAGCCGAATTGAGTTAGAAGCTGATCAATACTTTGCTGTGTTTCACTTATCAACATTATTAAGGTTGCGTTCAGTGTGCGGTAACATACCTAAAATAAGATAAATTATTAAGGTGAATTACCTAAAATAAGGCAAATTAGTAAAATACGTCGTTTCATATCTTCTCCAAGACCAAAAACATTTAAAAAAAGCTAGTAAAAGACGTTTTATCAAATTAATATGAAGAAAATTGCAAATGAGGCCAAACAACATAGGTTTTTGGCTAAAATTACATAATTTTATAAACTTTCACATGTTACTTACAAGATAATACCGTTCCAGCTCTCCAGAAGCCGGATTTAATGCCCATACAACAGGAAAATGGCCTTTGCTTGGAGCGAAATCAAACGAAAACTTGACAAATCGACCAGATTGAGCACTAAAACATTATTTTCTTTACTTTTCCTCACGTTTTTCAACATTTCTATGTAGTTCTTGACCAAACAGACCCTTTAAACACACAAAAACAAAAAACTATCTATTTTACAAAATTTAACTCCAAAACCACCCACTTTGTCACAGACTCCGGCTGTAATTCGCTCTTCAAAGCCGATGGTATCAGATGTTCTACTACAATATCATAGAAAGTCTTCAAGTCCTTTCGTAGTACTGAAAACTGAAGCAGTTTGTTTTGATACAACAACATTGCTTGACGAATGTCAGGTTGTTGCTCCATACATTGTTCGACGAAGCATTGCGTTTGAAGAAACAAGTTTGACTCTAATGGCATGAAGCTAATGCCATCAAAGACGTCGATCAATGGAATTAGTGACAATTTGACTGTAGGTAGGTATGTTGTGAAGAATGAGTCAAAAATGTCACATAAGAGCTCCCGGCCATACTTTAGGTTGTACTCGAAGTCGCGGTTAAACAATTTGAAAGTGTTGTAGATTCGCTTGACAGTGGTGAGTAATGTCCCTTCGTGTGGGAAAAAGTTGGCTGCTTCTGAATTTGATCTGAAATTTAATTTTATTATTACTCACAAAAAATTGAATTTCATTACTATTCGCTATAATAATTTTCTAATAATCAGCATATAAGATCTAGTTTAAATATGCAAACTCATATTCTTACTTATTAAAAGCAGCTCCAATTATAAATCCTCCTTCGATAGGCAGAATCAGAGACACCAAATGTTGTGACGTCAAAAACCTATGTTCTGATGACTCATCTGTCCGAAACTCATTTGTAAAGTTGATCACACCTTCACAGAAACTAGCCAACTCTAACTGAAAATGTAAAACTGAGGATCTTATCAAAATATTTAAAAAGTTGCCTTATCTACAATTACCTTTACTTGAAGCAAAACACGCTTAAGAGAAGATGCTTCTAACTTTATTATAAATCGAAACTTTAAAATATCGTTTAACTGTTCTAATGCCCAATATATTACCTTACTTATATCAAAAAATCAAGTGATTCTAAAAATTTTCCTAGAAGTTCCAACGGAAAGTATAAGGCCCTCTCATTTACTACTATAACATTCCTTAAAGAGTCCATACTTTTAAAAACGCTAGATTTTCAAAACGTGTTTTAAAAATATCATTGTGTACAATCTCACAATGATAGCTCACCTTTCTCTTGTCGTTTTCGGTTGAAGGCCAAAAGTAAACCAACTTTTCCTTTTCTTCACCTTCCTTCTTCCCAAACTGTGGATAACTGACGAAAAAGTGATCCAACACTGTTGTCGCAACCAAATCACCAGCTGGCTCATTCAAGGCAATCGGTTCTGGCCGCGCAAAGGCTCCTGAGTGAAAGGGCGAGTAGGAAAACATAACAGTATCACCTTAACATAGCTTTTTGTTACCTAAAACATGAAGCTTTAATTCTTATATAAAAAGAAAATAAAATTAAAGTAAAAAGCAATATTTAAACAATCTAAAATGTATTTTACATTAGCAAAGAATAAAAAATAACAAAGTTGAACGTGTTTTAGATTGAAGAGAAATAACGCACATATCCTGCCGAAATTAAAGCTAAAACAATACAAAAACCTGTCAAAAATACTAAAAACGTTATGAAAAAAGATACTATTTCAAAGAACGTCAAAAAGAAACAAGCAACAACAACATTTCTCCATAAAAGCTCAAAAAACAAAATATTTTCTGAAAAATAACCTTTTTTGACACTTCGAGCATAAAACCGATACCAGTGCGACGGAATGTCCACTGCTTTTTCGCGTATTTTTTCTTTGGTAGATATTAGCAATGGACAAGGCTGGACCTAGTTTTCATGGCCTGGACCAATTTTTTGGCCCAACCCGTTTTTTATTTTGCTCAAACGTAGCTCGGCCCGATGGGGGAAGGCGGGCTTCTGGTTAACCGTTTACTTCAGCTTATATTATTTTAGATTATATTACTTTAGGCAATACCTTTGGTGTCTTATCTTTTTTTGGCCTGAAATGGTTGTTGTTTGTAACTTTTATGTAATTGAAAGGGTCTGTTTTGGCCAAGAAGCCATTACAATTTGAGCTTCGTTACGAAAAGCGTACTTTTTTTTATCGATTTGTTTGGTGTCTAGTGTAATATAAATAGGTGTTCATGAGTTGAAAATGAAAGTTTGAAATTGTTTTTGGATTTAAATTGAAAAACAGATGATTTTTTATGAGTTGGGGGCAAAAAAAAGCTACAGGTCTTCGGGGAAGCTTGCGGCAGAGGCAATGAATAATTTATGGTATCAATTTGGTGGTGGAAAGGATTAATGTTGTTATTGTAAGGGTGTAATTGATCAAATTTGGGAATTTTTAATTGTTTGGGAAGCGTACGTGTTTGGTGTAGGTATAAAGATAAGTTCTTACAAGTTATTGATTTCGTTTACGTTTTAAAAAGAATTTAGTGAAGTGATGTTAATTTTGGAGCCATCAGATTTAATTTTTACTTTTTGAAGTAAATATTTCGATTTTATACCTAAAAGCTGTTTTTCATAATAAAGAAAATAATGTTATAGGTATACTTTGTGCTTTTTTGATAATTTCATTTCTTTTTAAGACTAAAAATGCGAAATAATTAATGAATTTGTTTAGTATAAGACTTTTGAAACCTTACTCAGAAATTTACTGTCACTTTGGGAATTTTAACGTGGGACGGAGTTCTAATCAAGAGTTATCAAACTTTGAAATAATTACATAAAATTGTAGATTTGAAAAGATACTATTGCTATACTTAAATACTATTATCATACTTAATGATAAGTATTGTAACACCAAAAAGATGTTTAAATAGCTAATGAAACCACTTATGTTAAGATGATATCAACTTATTACAATAACAAACTTACAACTTATTACATTAGGTTGTTTAAATAATTCTGCGCTTCTAATCTCGAAAATCTGATTTGAAAGGGAGCACAGAACTAATATTCGAGCAACCTAATAGGAACAGTCGGGCAAGGGGCAAGTTTTAAACGGTGTAGGAAGAAGAGGAAGGCACGTATTTATTTGACAACATAATAATATAATCAATTGTGGAGGTATTGAAATTGTTTTGCTTAAAAAAGGTTAGTTGTTTAGTGTAGAACTCTAAAGCACGTCGTATCTTGTAGAGTTGTGTAATTGGACGCAGTCAGACGTAGGTGAGTGTTAAAGTGCGCAGTTATGTTTAGCTCAGTAATAAACTAGGCATAAGATAGTAATTATGTTCGAATCAACGTAAATCTGCGGCTAATGAAATTATTAGTGACTGGACAGATATTATTTACAACGCTTTAAATAATCTGTTATGACACGAGAAACTTTTAGATGTAAAAGTGCTTTTAACACTGTTAGTGGGCTTTTACTTAAGATATCTAGGAAAACATAAAGATATTGACTTTTGCTTTGGTTAAAGAACAGATATTGATTATTTTGAGCTTTCACTGTGTAAAATAGCGAAGGTATGGTCTTCGAGGAACTTTTATGTTTGTTTCTTTCAGATTTTTTTTAACTTTGTTGTTTTAAATGGTAAAGAAGAAGATGTAAGGGTTTTAACGAGTAGTGTGGAGTCTATATTACACCCTATAAAGACACTCTGTTAAGAAGAAAAGTCTATAGTATATGCAATATCCTACAATCCATTTTCTAACCTAAAATAAGATACGAACGAAGCGTAAAAGATGTATTCTTGACTTATAAAGATAAATGTATAGTTGTTTCGATAACTCTTAATTGGGTCGAAAAGAAAACAGGTAGATCTCCGATCAGAAAACAGTTTTTGCTTGAACTTGCTCTTTTACTAAAACATGTTATGTCAATTGCAGTCGACGTGACTTTTCTCAATAGCAACTTTCTTGATGATAAAGTTTCATCAAAAAGTAGTGATTGTGTTTGTAAAAGTTACTTTTTATATTTTTTTGTACGTTATCTCTTAACAATAATTTTGAAGTTTTTAAAGCGAGCTTTGACTTTAAGATTTTTGAAAATTTAGAATTTTAAAAATGAAAGTATGGCTATAGTTATAAGGTCCCTTACTGAACAGGCATTTGTGTTTTCTATAGCCATACTACTTTAGTTCAATGTTTGTTATGAGTGAGCGTACCATATTGCAGTGATAAGCATTATATGGCTCATAGAATTCTGTGCCGGCACAGGCATGCCTCCTTCCAAAGCAAATTTTCGGAGTTAAGGGCACAGAATTATTTGAAAAACCTAATGGTTTAATCATATGCAAATTTTAAGAAAATTTTCTCAAGATGTCACGTAGGCGTTCTCGAAGTTTCCACTTAATTTTGCGACTAATATCAATAGAAAGTGATAGGAAATCAGTCGCAAAATCAAGTGGAATTTGAAAGACTCATCACTTGTGTTATAAACTATTAGGTTGTTCAAGTAATTCTGTACCTTTTTTTCAAAGCAATTTTTTGGGATTTGGGGCACAGAATTATTTGAAAAAACTCAATACTTTCTAAAGTTTATTCAACAAAATGGCAAATTGTGGAAACGAAATTTGGTAGTAATGATAAGTTTTAATTTGGGAGCTTTGTTATGCTTTATTGAATTTTTATTTTGATAATACATGAATGTTAGGGATGAGAGTTACTTTTTTTTCTCTATAAAAGGCTAAGAGCCAACTTTTTCTTTCTACGAAGTTATAAGAGTCATCCTTTTCTTTCTATGAAAGGATTGAGTCATCTTTCTTCCTGTGGTGTTAATGATGCTTCTTGACTTCAAAGAGCCATCATTAACATCATGATTTGTAAGAAGAACGTTTTTGAAAGTTTATCGATTGTAATAACCTTTAATTCTAGGCCTTGGTTTAAATTTTTGGCTAAAAAAAGTTAAAAAGTAAAAAAACCATCCTTATCTTTTAACATTTCAACGGTCAAACGTCATTTTTATTTGAAAACAGTTCAAATTTTAATTTTCAAAACACAACACCGCCTCAAGTTCATCGAAACCGAGCACAAGAATCTTTCGATTGTCGGCAAATGAAGTTGTCGGCTTCTCGGACGGCCGAATGCCCGGGTTTCATGTGGAATATGAAGTTACGTGACAATCAAGACATGTAAATTTTAATACCGAAAAAGGCCAAGAGTCTTTAACGCTCTCTTTTCCACTGCAATTGGAAGAGCGAGTGTTTTTTCTTGCTTACGTGCGTTTTACCACGTTCGAAACACCGGTTTGTCGCTGCACTCCCCGATTCCCACACTCTCTCGTCGTGAAGTCGGCTGGAATTTTTAGATTTTCTTGTTTATTGGGGGCAAAATGGAGGCTGCGTGATGTATTTTATGTTTTTTGGTTTTGTTTTCTATTGGCAAAGGGTTTGGGCTGGGGTTTTGGAGCTGGCGGGTGAGGGAATTTAAATTATTTAAATATTAGTTAAAAGTCTGCGTTTTATACGGGAAAGTGAGTATAACCTGAGGACAAAACTTTTTTGAATTGAAAATTGAGTGTTTTTTATAGCTGATGTATGTTGGGAGAGGAGACATCGACCTTTTTTTAATTCAAAAATATATTATTCATTACAAAAATGAACGGAAAATGTTTAAAAAATTAAACGAAAAGTTAAAGTTTTACGGAATTCTTTTACATTTTATCATTTTCTAAGCTCAATTTTAATTTTTATGACATTTTTTTTCTTAACATTGCTTAATGTTAGCTAGAATGATGTATATACAGTGAAACCGCTTTGGTATGATCTTTGATAGTATGACACCTTGTTTATAATGACAGTTTTTTATCCTTCCTTTGTAATAAAACATCTAACAAGAGGTACCTGGGTAGCGTGACACTCTCGTTAGAAGGACAGGTTTGCACTAGTTCCTTGAGTGGTGTATAGTAAAGAGGTTTGACTATATATATATCAAAGACTGTCAATTGTATTGCATTAACATTTTGTATTTCTATTTTAACTACTATTTTAAAGTTGTAACAAGAAGTTTTTTTACCTAAGCATGTATTTTGAGTATAGATGTTATTGTCATCAAATTGCTTATTTTTTCTTTGAAGTAAGCCGTTTGTAACCGCGCGAGGTAAAATTGTAAAATACGTGTTCTTTTATTTAATAAAATTAATTTTTAATATTTTAGATTTGAATGGAAAAGTCCACTTTTCAAAATGCCGCTTTCCAATTCGCTTTAAACAACAGTCCAAGTTCGGTTTCGCTCAGTGCACTTTTGAATGTCGCCGAAGCCAGTAAGTTGATCTTTGACTTGTGGAAATTGGAGTTGGTAGACTCAAGTTTCATTACTTTTGAATACTATTGTTGGAAGGAAATTTGAGTTTCCAAAATTTGCAAAAGTTATGAAGCATGAGAAAAAATATAGAAAGTGTTACCTAAAATAATATAATTAACATTTTTAATGAAAAATAGAAATATTATGGTTAAAAATGTAAAATTTGTGAATTTTAAGATAACACGGAAAAGGATTTAAAAAATGTTTTGTTTTGAATTATGTTTGTTACCTAAAATTTTTATTTTGGAAATTTTGATTTTTAGGTGGAAACCTATTTTATACAACTTACTGACAGTTTTTTTTTATTTGGATTTTTTTTGAAAAATTGTATTTTATTAAATACTTTTCAGATGCCAGAACTCCACAAATCCCAGTATCACTCCTCCCAAACTCGACAAACTTCATAAGTGCGGCATTACAGCAAGTTCAGAATACTGAAGTCCAGTCACAATCCTCGTCATCTCACAGTTTTGAGCATGTGTTCGCAATGCCAATGGGCTTGGCCCAGGCTTCATTGGATGCTACCACCTTGTTCTCACCTTCTTCCAGCCTAAAGTCATCTTCTTTTGTATCAAAATCGTCATCTTCTAAGGGCTGCAACTTTTGTGGATCAATGAATGGCCAAACACAAAAGGAACTGGTGGAATGTGATGGATGTCATACTGTGGCGTACTGCAGTGATCAGCATAAGGTGGGTTTTCGGGGGTGGTTTCGAGGGTTGAAGTTTGGAAACGTACTTCATTTTAAGTATAACCAAACTTCTTTTTTTGTTTCTTTATCTTGTTTATGTACAATATGGTGCTCGAACTCTAATTCTGATCTCCTCGAGTACTCAAAATTCCTACGATAAATTTAATCTTAATTTTTGGACTCTGTAGTTTTACAAAAAAAACGTCTGTTTTGATGACACTTTAATGACATTTTAATCTCGTTTAGTCTCGCCTTGTCTATTCTGGGCGTGCTGATTAGTTTAAGTGCTAAAATCTTTGTATCTTCTAGTCGGAAGTCGAAAAATCTTCCAAAATGCACGTTTCGTTCTTATTTTTAGTTTATCTCTATTTTGGCAGCGAAATAAAAAGATTCGCTTTTCAAAACAAAAACAGATGTTGGTTATGCTGGTTTAGGGGTTGGACAATTATGTTGAAGGTTATGGTATAAAAGGGGGATCCGTTTTTATAAAAGAATGATTTTTTTGCTTTTTAGTTGTATCATAAGGTAATAATGGTACATATGTAATTTGATACTCTGATAGCTTGAGGTATAAGTATCGTCGTCAATATGAATTGATTTGCACTTTAATAAGCGACGAAACTTTATTGATACTTTAGTACATTAAGGTGTTATAGTTGTTGATCGATTCTTAAGGGGCTTCAGTAGTCAAAATCTTTTAACAACTTTTGCCACAGTATAATGTAACCTTATTTATCTATGTTACACTATGCTGAAACCTTATACAATAGCATAGACACAACGTAAGCTCTGCTTGTCTATCACAGCTCAAACTTGTTATTGTGAAGCCGTGAAGGCTCCTATTAAAGCATACTGTAATGACTACAAAAAATTAGTGTAACATTCCAAAACCTAATTGGTCGAAGAATGTGTTTACCGTAGCTTGCAGCTGGAATGTGTTTACCGTAGCTACACGATCTCACGTAGCCAATTTTTTTGCTGATTACGTGCAGATCGTGTAGAACAATATGATTTGCACTTTTAATCCGTTAGAGAAGAATTCAGAAGGAGATTCGGTCTCTTGTTCATGATACATTGTAACAATCAATCACGTGACTGGTGATATCTTACATTTGGGTACGGGTTTGTGGTAGCTTGGATTGTATTATGATTGAGAAGTTATTTTAAAGCTGATGAGTTAATTTGACTCATAATTTCTGAGTTTTGATAAGCGTTCAAGTTTTTTTTTTATTAGTGTTGTCATTCGAAAAATTTATGTGCCCTTTGAATGAGATTTCTGTTATACTAAAGTCAAGGTACCACAAGTCAGGTGTGGAAAAGATATCACAAATTTATATAAAAATCTCAGATAACATCAGTCACGTTATTGATTGTTACAATGTATCATGAACAAGGAACTGAATTGCTGTTTGACCTTATCGCGCTTGAAACGGATTACAAGTGTAAATGTTTTGTTTCACACGTTTGCAACATAAAATATGGTTAATACAATATACGGTAAACAACAAGGGCTTTTTTTACTGTGATTACCAACATTCGTTAATTTGATATTTGGTTATTAAAAGTGGGTCTTGCTTATGCTGCAGTATAATGTGGCTTTATCTATCCATGCTACATGCTGAAACCTTATACAGTAGGATAAACACAACATAATGTCTACTTGTCTAGGATTGCTCAAACTTGTTATTGTGAAGCGATTAAGGCCTCTGGCGAAGCATACTGTAATGAATAAAAAAAATTAGTGTAACATTCGAAAGTTTGATCAAGAGTTTTTAAACATTGGTTTTTTGGGGGGGGGGGGTTGTTTGGGGTCCACAGGTAGTTTGTGGACCTTTTTTCGGTATCCACCCTTTCCCCCCCCTCCCCTCCCCCCCAAAAGAAAATTCGTAGCGACCTGTATGTATCATATTTTCTTGGTCTTTTTTATTATTTTCTTTTGTTTTTGAATTAGTTTTACTATTTTTTTGTACTTTTTATACACTTTTTAATTTTTTTATGATCTTCTTGCAGTTTATAAGCTTGTGTTATCTTTTGACATTTTATGAATTCTTGTGTTGTCTTTTTACATTTTATGAAATTTGTTGGCATCTTGTAAAATTTTATGAAATTGTTCTTTGTTCGGCTTCTTTTGACATTTTTTAAAACTTTTTTGTCATATTTTAAGATTAATAATCATTTCTTCCATACCTCTTCAAAATCCACCCTCCCTCTCCTTATCACCTCCTCAAACTCAATCATCTCTTCCACCTTGATTGTTGATTCATCGGCTGCAGGAGACAAAGTGTTGACTAGATATTATTTGTTTGTGTTTTTCTCCATTTCGACTGCTCACAATTCCGTTCGAATTTGCACGTATACTTCAGCTTTTCCGCGTGCACTCTTTCGTCGCACTGTTCGTTTCTTTGCCAGCCTCCCGATTACATTCGCTTCCCCCCTTACTGCTTTCTCATTTTTCTCATATTTTCGGGAGGAAAAACGGAGGAATCATTCGTCTTCAGGCGGATTCATAATGGACTTTCCGGAGGGTTTGTTTGGGTTAGATCATGCTGGGGGATAAGGTGATGGACATATGATTATTAAGTTATGAGGGATACGATGAGAAAGGTTGTTACGGTGGGATAAGATGTGAAAGGCTAGGGAGGGTTGAATTGAGGAAGGCTAAGGAAGAATGAGATGAAGAAGGCTAGTCAGGTATGACATGGTGGTGTTATAATTGTTTTCTTTAACAGTTAGGAATGTTTAAAAGCTAGATTGTCTGAGAATATTGGAGATGTTAAGGTACATAAAGAGTGGTTTTGAGTTTTAAAATAGCCAAAGGGAGCTTAAAAGAAGTTACAGTAGAAAAATACGCGAAGAAAAGACTATGAAGGCATTACAGTAGTTAAAGAAGTCTATACAGACTTTACAGTAGTTGAAAAAAGCAATATAAAATTTACAGTAGTTAAAGAAGGCTATAGAGACTTCAAGAAGACTATAAATCTTACAGTAATTATAGAAGGTGTTAAACATGTTAGAGTTGTGTGATTAATTAATATTGGGGTTTTAAAGTATGTTCATCATTTATATTTTCACTTTTTATTGTAGCCTTGGACGTTTCAAACGTGTCGTATATAGTTATCGTAGCTTTTGACGATAACCACATACGACGATACGTTTGACTACATATTGTAATAGAGATAAATGGACGGTGAAATTTCGGGTTTATGGCTGTTGTTGCTATATTATTGATACTACTCTTCTTTTGCTTTATCATACTTTTATTATTGTAATAATATTTCTTTTTTACTGTAGTAATATTATACTTATTTTTTAATGGTTAGTACTACTTTCTGTATGGTTTTACTGTCTTAATACCGCTTATTTTTGTTTTTACTACTTTAAAGCCAATTTAATTTAAATTTTTCGCACTTTTTTCGAGAAAAGATTTTACAACCTTCAAACTATTTCTAACATCAATGTAAAACCAGCTAATTTATAATAATATGATTAAAAATAACAGTGTTATAACAAGATCATCCCACCGTAAAATTGGAAATAATAGTCTTGCTTACGAAACAAAGTTAATAGGTAAACAATGTTTGGTTTCGTATTCGCTTCTGTCTAAAATCATTTTAATTATTGTTTTGTTCATTTGAGAAATTAAAGGAGTAACTAGGCTTATATGGGGTATTAAATAGTGAATATGATCTTTATATAGAGTTTAGGGGTGAACAGGGATCTTGCTACAGACTTTTTTGGAGAAGGTTTGGATTTACTCCACATTTACTACTTCTTCCTTCTAGCTGTGGCTTTGGGGGACCCTGGGGGTTGTAGTTAGGGAAAACATGTAGTGATTTGAAAGGTGAATGTAGTTTTTATAAGATAATTAAATTCTGAATCTAGTCTTTTTGTTACTAAACAAGTAAGGTATAATAGTTTTTATAGGATAAAAACGAATAACTAGGGACATTTGTAGTTTAATCTGTGTTTATATGTGAATATAATATTAAGTTTTCAATTTATTTTTGAAATTCAGCTGGCATTAAAGAAAGTTCAAGAGTTTGAAAAAGGGTTTTAAAGAAAGCATTCAAATTTAAAATGAACCGCTTAAAAACAGATTTTTTAGAATATTATATAGTTTTAAAAATTTTTTGAACTTTTGAAAAATATTACAATTAAAAAATTTTTTTTTTAATTTTTGGCAAATTTAAACTTTTTAAATTCTTATATCTTGATGACGTTTTGAAGCTTAAAAATACTGAAAATGTAAGCCCACAAAACATAAAAAAGCTGTTTTCATGATTTATTGCCTGTTATCTTTACTGTTTTCTCAGGCTGAGGATAGGTTATCAGTATGGAGAGATGCGTGTTTTCCAACAATATACATGTCTTTTCTGAAATTTGTCAATTGTAAAGCGGTTGGTCGCCTCTACTTTTCATAACTCACGTTTTTTATTTGGTAATGATGTTCAGAATGTTAGAATATTGGGTTGTTCAAATAATTATGTGCTCTCTCTGAAAGCGAATTTTTGGGATTAGAGGGCACAGAATTATTTGAACATTTTATTAAATGTTCAATATAAGCCTAATTTTAACCAAATTTCCAAAAATCGAATGTCTTTTAAACTCATGACATTACAAAAGTTTTGGCGTTTTTAAACTTGGAAAACAATGTAAATTGCCGACAAGACTTTTTCTCCATATTCTAGTAACCTTTTTGCTCAAATTTGACCTTGTTTTTGACTTTTCTAATCGAAATTTGGCAAAATCTACCTAAAAATCAATTGGGGAACAAATATCACGTAAAATATGCAAATTACTGCCCAAGTTGTTGTTGTTTTGACGCAAATCTTATTTTTTTCGATTTTTTTACATTTTTTGAAAGATTTCGCAATTTTCATCAAAACTTTCACCGCTTTTTTGTGGTGAAATTTGGGGGGATTTACATGCGGTGGAGAAGCTTACATGACATTCGCGACTTTGCGTTCTCTCTCTTCGACGAGTTGTCTTTGAAGTTTGTGGTCGATTTGTGTTCGTCACGAGCTTGGGAATTTGAATAAAACGTTTGGAGTGGTCTTACCTTTCGAGATCGACTATTTTGTTCATTTTGCGGGTGGATTCTCTACGGAATATACGATTTATTCTGGCATTTTGTGACGGTTTGGGCTGTGATTTGATTGGAAATTGTAGTGGTCAATAGAAATTGTCATATTTTCTTGGCGAAGACTCAAATTTTTGGTTGTATACTGGTCTAAAGCCTCTTATCATCACTGTCTTGAACTTAATCATCTACTTTTTTGGCCTTTACCAGCTCCTTTCTTCATCTTTATCATTGGATCTGACAAAAACCGACCCAATCTCGGTGGTTTTTTGATGCTTTTATATACCAAACCCTGTCGTGCCACAAAACTAACTGTCTAAAGTCCAGATCTAAATGTTGAATTATTGCAGAAATTCGATTGGAAACGTCACAAACCGATTTGTCGCACCACCAGGATGAAGGTCGCGCAACATATTGTGAATGAGCCCATGGACACCACCGTCAGCCAAAACTCGCTTCATTCTATGTCGGCCAGCTGCTCCAGCTCCGGTAAGGGGTTTCAAATTGAAATTTTTTAAATTTGAAGTTTTTGGAAATTTGAAAGTGGAAATTTTGAAAAATTTGTTTTTAGGTATTAAATTTTCTTTTTTGAAGACATTGAAATTTTGATGCAAAATGAATGGCGCATCTGATAATAAACTTTTTTATACTTTTTAAACTGCCAGAACTTATTAAAATACTCTTTTTGATTAAACACAGATAATTTAAAACACTTTTCCACATAAAATGAGTAAGCTTACGAGCAGGGAATGCCTCTTTTATGGAGGTTACGTGACTATCGTTGCAAAACCCGACTTTCAAAGTTATTTATCTTTTTTCATTTTCTCATTTGTGAGGTTACGGTACTTCGAAGGGACAAATTGGCTTAAACTAAAACGTTTCAACAAGATAAAATATCATGTTAACAATGTGGTTTGAAATTTTTTTTTAATTTTGAATGGTTATAGGATGGTTTTAGGGGTTTTTTTAAAGGTTTTTGGCGGTAGATAAGAAATATTGTAGTAGGTAGGGGTATATTGGTTTAGTTAAGAATATATTGCTATTTTTAAGGATACATTGTAGTAGGCAAGAGTATATTATATTAGTTAAGGGTATATTGTAGTAGGCGTTTTTGAAAAATGACTTTGAAGTATCGAAAAAATTTTAAAATTAAAAAATATTGATCGTAATATAAAATACCAAAAATCACTTGACATTTCAAAATTTTGAGTACAATGTAAACAAAAAAACAGCAAAAAACAATAAAACGTCATCTTTTTCAGGATTCTCGGATGTGTCGTGCAGCTCGAACGGCTTCGGTCAAGAACGTTTGATCGAGACGGACGATCCAGACATCAACATAATCGAGACCGAGTCCTCGCCACGCAAAGTTCAGAAGCGCCGAATGAGCGACGAAAGCCCGCTGAACCCGCAAGGCAAACCCTACAAGGATCATTCCAAGAACTTGTTGTTCAAGACGACTCTCCAGGATCATATGAAGTCGCTGGCGTCGTCGGGCTTGGCTTTGAACAAGCACAAGGCTATTGCTTTTAGGCTTAGAGTGGGTTTTTTGGTTTTTTAAAATTTTTTTATGTTGTTTTTTCCCAAAAAATTACTTTTTGTGATTTCAGTACATTGCCGAGCATGTAATACGATCTCTGAACGAATACGGATGGGCGGTTGTAGATAATTTCATGGGGAAAACTCATTGTCAATACACATACAAGGAGATTGAGCAGCTGTACAATCGAGGGTTGTTCAAGGAAGGCCAGCTGATGGAAGACAAGGATGAGCCACAAGTCAATACTAAGGATATTCGAAGTGATAAGGTGAGATTTTTTTAAATTTCAATCTGATTTTGGGGATTTAAAATAGTTTTGTTGAATTTTTGATGATTCTTGGCTTTTTTAGTTAATTTTGGGGCATTTTAGGGATGTTATTGTGGGTTTAAAGAGGTTTTTGATAGTTTATATGGACTTTAATTTACTTGTTTTGAATGATCTAAATTATAAACTTACTAATTATATTATTGTAGATCTACTGGTTTGACTCTTCCGAGAACAAGGCTCGAGATGCCGTAACAATCCGCTTACTGGTCTCAATGATTGACTCTGTCATTGTCCACTTCCAGAACCGTATTCCTCCATATCAAATCGCGGGTAGATCGAGAGCCATGATCGCATGCTATCCGGGGAATGGCACTCGATACGTAAAACATGTAGATAACCCAATAAAGGACGGAAGATGTATCACATCGATTTACTATTGCAACGACGACTGGGTACTGTCAGATCACGGTGGAACGTTGAGATTGTATCCGGAAACATCGAGAGTACCAATGGATATCGACCCTCAAGGCGATCGACTGGTATTCTTTTGGTCGGACAGAAGGAATCCACATGAAGTGTTGCCTGTGTTTAGACATAGGTAAGGGTTTTGATGGTTGGGTAGGGGTGTTTTAGAGTTTTTAGGAAGTTTTTAATTTTCTGCGAAATTGATACCTAAAAAGCAAATTTTTAAGTTTTTGAGGGTTTTTAGTTAATTTTTTTGAAACTTTGTTTTTTAAATGTGCTGGTTTTTAGGTATGCGGTAACGATCTGGTACTTTGATCAAAATGAAAAACAAAAGGCCAAAGAACGTCAGCGATTGGAAGAGAAAGAACAGGCTGAAGCAGCAATGGGCATCAACTCAGCACAGAGAAGTAAGATTTTTGTTTTTTAGGTATAGTAAGGTGATATACTGTGATTATGGTACCTATTATCACATTTTTTAAATTTGGATTTTGAATTTGAAAAACACTTGATTTTTTACAAATTCTTGACTTTTCAGCATCACCACCTCGTACAGACGCTATGGACACCTCTAACTATCCACCCAAGTATCGTATGAAAACCTCTTTCGATGACGACGAGGACCAGGATGATGTTCACCCTGCCCAACCCGCTAGCAAAAAGTACATACCCGATTTTGAAGTCTAGTCCCACAAATACGGCTACCAACGTTTTGCATATTCTGAAATGTTCCGAGCTTTTTTCGTATTTTATTTTGGACCAATTGTGCCAATCTTTGTATATTCGATAAATATTTAAATATAGATTGTTAGGCTTGTTTCGTTTGATTTTGGAAGGGATGGTGAAAGAGAGAGGAGGGATTGTAGGTTAGAGAGGAGAGAGGTAGTTGCAATGTAGGATAGTGAACTACTATAAACAATTTGGGCCAAAATGACCTTAAAGGAAATAAAGATTTATTTATTTGTAAGAAAAAAATCTGTTTATTATAAGCTATAGCTCGTAAGTTTTGAACGTTTTTAGTTTATGTTTTGTAAAATACGTATTGGGATACCATGATAAGGAACGACTAAACCGCGCCGTCGCAGATGGTTTAGACCAAGACTCAGGCTAAAAAATTTAGTTTGTTATATTTTTAAAAAATTTTAAAAGATATTATAAGGTCTAGTCTATCTACAATGGATAATTTTTTGGCTTAAACTATAATATGGTACAAAATTAAAAAAAAAACGTTTTACTATAAGAAATTTTAAAAAGTACGTGTTTTTTTTCAAAAAAGCAACTTTGATCTCGTTATCCTTTGATGAATGGCTACGTATTTCAAGCTGCGCAGCAAAAAAAATTTTTCTGCAAATTTAAAAGGCGTTTTGTTACCTTTATGTTACAAGAAAGCTATCATTTTACTAGCTTTATACAAAGCACAAGAAATGACCTGACAATATCAACAAGTTTAGATCCTGGTAGACTTTTAAAAGGGCCGGGCTCAATTTTTTGACCCAGCTTTTTTCGAAATTGCTTTGCTTTAAAAAAACTAAATTGCTTACTGAAGTTTGTACAGTAATATTAACTTTAGCAGTGAACTATATATCCTACCTAAAAACGTACACAACAATGCTGAAAGTTCATGGCGAACGACCGAACGTTCGCGACATAAAAAGCATTTTTTGACACAAACAATAAGGTTGCATTGTGGAACTTGATTAGGGTAATCAACAATAAACTTGAACTTTATAATCACATCAGTCTCACTTTAAAATAACACCACTTAATGATATATAAGGCGTGGTAAAAGTTGTCACTTTACACTTTTGGAAGTGTGTCTACTCTGCGCTACTGTAAATTTATTGCAAGGTACGGTAGAGGTATTTGGGTTAGTGTAAATGCTTTTGAGAGTATGACAGAAGTTTTCGTAATGTTTGTGAAGTTACAGTAAGAAGTTGAATGCTTATAAACTGCAGTACAAATTTTTAATTACAGAAAATGAAATTCTTCGTCTTCCTCGTCGCCTTGATCTCTGCTGTTTTTGGTCAACAAATGCATTTAGAAAGAGTCTTTGAACCTTATACTTATCAACGTATCAACTACGACGTGGCTAGAATGGGCTACAACGCTCGCTACCCCAATAACAACTACCATCGTGTTGATGGATGGCAACCAGCCAGCTGGGATGACATCTTCGGCTCGAGACGATACGGAAGAAAGTAGAGAAGGTGGCACATATTAAATTGTTCAGTTAGTTCTGAGCCCCTAACACCAATAATTTACATTGGAAGGAGCACAGAAATATTTGAACGACCCAATTTGTGTATAGGCTAGTTTACTGATTACATTATGATTTTTTGTGAAACATACGATGCTGTATTACTAGTTTTTTAAGGTTTTGAGAACTTTGTGTGATGTTACTAGTAAAAGATCTAGTATGTTGTTATATGTATATAAACGTTGAATTATGTAATTTTCAATAAATTTTCATTTTTATACCTTTTAAATTGAAAAAATTTTTAAAATTTCAGAAAAATTATATTTGAATGCTACAATACTTCCATCTACAATATTTCAAAATAATGTTTATTTACAGCACCCTTAAAGTTTAATAAATAAGAGTTAAAAAATTCTACTTTCCCTTACGAGGGCCGAAGATGTCGCTCCAACTGGCTGGCTGCCATTTATCCACCTTATCGTAGTTGTTGTTAGGATACCGAGCGTTGTACGCAAATCTTGTCATATCATAATTGACTCTCTGATACGTATATGGATCAAAGATCCGTTCCAAGTGAAGTTGATCGGCAAATTCATTCAAGGTTTGGGCTGATATCAGGCCGAACAAGGCGAAGAGAAGGATTAGGAGTTTCATTTCTAAAAAGATATTGGGTTATGTTTACTGTGCGTGTAAATATAAGTTACATTAAAAATTCTTTTGTGTAACGAACACTTTTATAACAAACAAATTTAAAATTTCAAAGTGATTTGCTGTACAAGAGTTCTATTGTAGTTCAATTTTTGTATATATGTATAGTGAAACCTCTTTAGTATGACCCTTCATAGTATGGCATTCTTTAACTGTATTTTGTTTTCTAAAGATTTACAGTTAATAAACAAGCTTAATTATTAGTTATTTTCAGCCAATTAGTTTCTTTATTAATTTTCTTTTCATACGAACTAAATGAACTTATACGAACACATCGTATTAGCTGAACTACATAAGATATATAACAACATTTGAAAAAATATTTTTAATTTTGAATTTACTACAGTAATTGTATGTTATAGTAGAATTTCTAATAGAAAATGATAGTAATATATATATATTTAGATTAACAAACTTTACAATAGAAAGTACAGTAAGAAGTAAAAGTAAGTCTGCTTGAGCGGTAAAAAGTTGTATTATTTTTTTCATTTAATTCTGTGCTTGCCTAACGTCAAAAATTTGCTTTCAGAGAGTACACAGGATTACTCGAACAATCTACTATAAACAAACCCTTCCTCCAAACTTATGTCACACATACGACAAAACACCGTATGATACGTACAAACCCATAAACATATTAATCGTCGCAAACTTACTCGTGAAGCGACGATGAGGGAGATCGTAGAGTAACTTGTTCCTCGATGATTTTAACATTCTCTTATATATACCACTATATCCTGCGGTGATTCCCGCGAAAAAAACGGCTGATTGCCCGCAGGGAACAAGAGGAAGTTTGAGTGACCACCCCCCCCTTCTTCGTATGTCCAGCTTGGTTTTAACTTGTAGCCTTGATCGGATCAAGGTGTTTTACGTGAAAGTTTGAAGATTAAGTAACGAAAAAGCTTGTCTGCACTTAATTGGCTGATTACCGTTACCGCTAATGTTAGTAACGTGATGGTGGGACAGAGTATTTGTAAGGATGAGATAGAAAAATGTTGTCGTGAGGAGATCGAAAAGTATTGTCGTGATGACATAAACTTAATTAGATTTGTTTATTTAGTGAAAGTGTGACTTAAAAAACTTACAGCGTGTTACTGTCATAATGTAATACGGTGGTTAAGCTTGAATTAAAAATGTATTTTTAGCTAAAAAAGCGTTTTTTGTTCCGCTCACAACAAACAATATGTATAATATGAAATGACAATTCATATCAAAAGTCAAGTTTTAACAAATTTAAAATACTTTTAAAAGGGAGTTCATTTTTCAAAACTTTTGTTGTTAAAGAAGTAATATCTTAAACTATAAAAGAGGAGTAACAAATCAAATCACAGTGTTCCTTTTTAAAATGACGTAATTTATAAGAACTTTTAAGGAAGTTCATTCCGAAACGAAGTAATCACTTATATAAAAAGTAATCGTGAGATAAACGTTTACGTTGAACTAAATTTGTTTTCGATGTTTAAATGGGGGAAATTTGGCCTCTTATCAAAAAGAATTTGAAAACTTGAACTTTATTAATATTTGAAAAAAAAAGATTAATAAGACTTTCTGCTCAAATCTATCACCTAGACTTGAAAACATGTCCAACACGCTTAGACAGACTTCTGCCGGAAATCTTTACGTTTAAAAACTCTTAAAATGTTTTATTTGCAATTTTTAAAACAGTTTTATTAAAATAAAAAAAAATTTTTTTTTCCGGACCGGTCCGGAACTTTTTTTTCGGTCCGGTCCGGCTCTATTTTCTTTTGGTCCGGACCGGACGGGTCCGGCAAAACACTGGCTGGGTCAGGCTTACATGGTCCCAACGGCCGGGCCTACAATAAAGCCCCAGCGACCCAGCTTCAATATACGAGTTAAACTTATTCTAACCTATTTAAAATGATCATATTAATTTATGTTTTTCCTTACATTAAAATCAATAACAACTAAAACAAACACAACTCTAAAACAACAAAATATGTTATGGAGGAGTCCATGGTTTCGTACGAGGTCCAAAGATGTCAGACCAACTCGAAGGCGTCCAATCGTCAGTTTTTGGAGCATTTGGATTCTGAGCAGCTTTAATCATTCTCTCAACGTCATAACTAATTCGCTGGTATGTGTCCGGACGCGCCAAGTTTTCAAAATGATACCTGTCTAGTTGTTCTGCAAACCACTTCTGAACGTCTTCTTGAGTGATCGTTGGAAGTTGCGGTACTGCTACTTGAGCTGTGGTTGGAGAAAGTAAGGTCACAATTAGTAGAAAGGAGATTGTTGGCTTCATTTCTAAAAATTTTAAAATTAAAAAAAAATTTTTCTATGTTTTCAAAGTAACCCACAACCTACATTAATCTACTGTAAACAAAAGTTGCCAAAGTAACAAAAAATTGCCTTAAATACCGTTTCACACTGTTTCTGATTGTATTTTACACTGTATTAATGCAAAATACAAAACTATTACACTTTCACAACTAATGCTAAAAAGAAGTTTTACTACGCAAACTAAATGTTGATCTCTCAAGTTCGCTCAAGAATTGATATTTTTAAAACAACACTGGGAAGGAGGAAATGTCGAGTCATTAAACGTATATATCTACTCTTGAGCGACTGAGGTAACAACTAACTTGTTTTAGCATGTTTATGGTCTTATACAAGCACATCTAAAGCCCGCCTTGAGGTGATATAAAAAATTTTCTGATGAAATGTTAATAATTAAAAAAGTATGTATTTTTTTCAAAAAAATTAATCAAGGTACAAAAACATTTGACTCAATTTATTTTATTGTAAAAAGATTCATTTATGCTGTCAATTAGTATGTGCAACAAAATCTTTATTAAAATAAACATGAATATACAGTGACAAAGCCAGTAAACTATATAATATTATCATCGAGTTAGTTAGCTGTAGCCTTCCTCGATCCAAATAAATCAGACCATTCCAACGGTGTCCAATTGTCGTTATTTGGAGCGTTCGGATTCTGGTAGTTTTGAATAATTCTTTGAACGTCGTAATTAAATCTCTGTTGAATTCTTGAATCGGGAGGGTTGTCGAAGTGATACCTGTCTGATTGTTCTGCATGAAACTTTTGAATGTCTTCTTGAGTTATTCTTGGTATCCACATGCCGTACTGAGCTGTTGTAGATGAGAAGAATGTTGATAGAAGTAGTACAAAGTTTAGGGGGCTCATTTTCTAAAAAGGACGAGTTTAAATAGGAGTACGTCACGTTTAAAATTTCAAAACGTTTCAGAACTTTTTACTACAGAAGATTGCGTTAATATATGTTTTAATATAAGAAACAAATTAATACTAAAACTCCTTTATAACGACTAAATTTAAATAAAATATCTCTTATTTACTCAAAAAATTTCGTGTTTAATATCTCACTTTCGCTCAAAAACTGAATTCTATAGTTAAAACAACATTTTGAGGGAGAAAAAATGCCGAATGTCATAAAAATAAGAGATCTAACGTCATCTACTCTTGATCGACAATGAAAGATAAACTAATAATAAAGTAAGTTGACTTGTTTTAACTCTGGATGTTATATTATAAACAAGCTGTAGTCAAAGGCAGCCTAGGCTTGCAAAGAGGACTATTATTATGACCAAACCTTAATTAATTTAAAAATTATAAAGTAAAAATATCAGAAAAAATACTAATAATGTGCAATTTTACTTTATCACGTTGGTATAGCACCAAAATAAAGGTTTTAAATTAAAACTAAAAAAAGTATTTAAAAATGTTTTTTTATTAATATTTTTAGTTTACTTGTATAGTATAACACTGTATTTTAATATTTTTGTGGTCGTCTCCTATTAACAGGTCCATTAGGCTTAGCACCATCGACCTTGTACCACCTATGTTCCTTCACCAAATCAAAAGTAATTTCATTCGGTTTTGAACCAAAGGAAAAGTAAATAAAAGCATTTTCTTGTCCTTCTAAGTTCATATAATGTCCAGGTAGGTATAAGGTGCTCTGAAATTTAAGCTGTTTGAAAATAATTAAAAATTTTAAAAAAAAATACTATGAAAATCAGAAGTTAACCTACCCTAAAATGTTTTAACTTTAAAGTTTTAAATCTCAAAAACCCTACCAAAGGCCCAGCCTCGGGCCAAGCCCTCCCAATGTTTCGGCTTTCCACATACAATTGACCCTTGCCAAGATTAAATGCATCTAGGTATGTATGTACTCCTAATGGCTTGTTCTTCACAGTCAATTTAGGAAAACCCATGTAAACTGCTGGTCCAGGAATGTAATCATCATTTGATGAAAAGTTTACTCTTCTGTTTCTAGCCTTCTTAACACCTTGGTCCAACCTTATTGGACATTGAGACCAGTTTTTCAAAGCTGTGCCATCTGCTAGCACTGGTCCTAGGATGCCCTGAATCAAGGTATGATTAGGTAGACTAAATTAAAATTTTAAAAATTGGTATTTAATATAAAAAATTTGGTTTTATATAGTGATACTATATCCAAAAATTACTGTTTACTATTTTTTGTAAAATACGGTGTATGCGTGTTGTAGATAATTAAATATTTTAAAGTTTACCTTGGTATCAACGCCATGTTGGAAGTTTAAGCGGCCCAAATTCTCGACAAACAAAGATAAAGTACCAGGTTTTTTGGCCTTCAATTCGATTGAATTGTTAGTGCAATGTGACATACTACATGGTCCTACCATGCCCTACAAACCAGTTATACTTTACTTTGTCATGTCTTGTTAAATTTTTTAAAAATCTTAAAAATAATGACTAAATGAACATATAAATCTTGACTTTCCTTACCTGATACTCATCACCAACAAAAACGTAGACCAAGTTTCTAAACTTGGTCAGATTCAAAAGTTTTGGCACTTTGGTAAGTTGATGTGAGTAGATGGCATAACCTTCAGCTTGACCAAATTTTTCAAAATTTTCTGGTTCAGTGACGTTATAACAGGTATTGATAGCATATTCGTAGAACCACCAAAGAAAACCTCCGGCAAGTCTTTGAAGAGGAATGTTTTGGGCTTCGAAGGTTCTAAATTTGAAATTTGTTTGAAAATTTTTAAAGATTTTTTAAAAATTATTAAGTTGTTCAAATAATTATGCGCCCCTTCTCCATTTCAAAGCAAGTTTTTGCGGTTAAGGGGCTCCGAATTATGTGAACAACCAATACTTTTGATAAACGTCTTTTAAAATGCCTATAACAATATGTATATCCTCAAACTCACGGATGATTCTCAGGAACATCACCAACAGTCAACGATGGATCGTTCAAGCTCTTGATGTAGTCCCTCACCTTCTTGTAAACCTCTCCAACTTGACCAGCCTCATCAATCGGAGCTCCATAATCATAAGAAGTGGTCAAGAACTGGTCGGTCTCAGCTCCTTGAGTAAATCCCCAGTTTGTACCACCATGAATCATATAAAATGACAATGAGCCGTTGAACTCCCTTATATACTTCATCGTGTTGATTATTCTCTCAGCACTACTGTAAGATGGTTTACCACTGAACCAAGCCGCAAACCAGCCTGGATAGAACTCGGAGTTCACATTTGGACCTTAATTTTTTGTTTTTAGCAGAAAAAAGAAGTATATATTATGTTATAGTAGGCTAGGGCAGAATATATTATATAATAGAATGGTAGAACAAAGAAGAGTAGACAAGCTACTGATACAGCAACAATATTCACTTACCGCACTTGGCAAACTTCCTTTGAGCAATAAAACTCTTGTTGACACCATGCAGATCAGTAGGGCCGAAGTCTACAGTAGGATATGCTCCTTTAGCTACTCCACCATTCAGCCAGCCCGCATCGTTGCCATCAGTAGTAATAAGTGGTACTTTCTTCAACCCACATGCTTGAGCATACTCGACCAGTTGATTCATATACTCATGATGATTACCATAACTACCGTACTCGTTTTCTAGTTGAATTAAGAGTACTGGACCGTTCGGATACTGTAACTCTTTGACTTCTTCGGAAATTCGTTTTATCCAGTTCTTGGCGTGTTCCCAGTATCTACAGTGTAAATGTTATATTATATTAAAATAATTAAATGTCATGTAGTATTAAAAATGGCATATAAATAAAGTTGTTTTTGCAACAAGGTGTACTGTAACTTTAAAAAAAATTTTAAAAAAGCTTAGACGTACCAAAGAAAATACAAAGTAAAACTGTATATAAACTAAAACTTACGGTCCCTTATTGTCCCTTAAAGTTATATTATCATACTTGAGTAACCACCAAGGTATACCACCTTGAGTCCATTCTGCACAAATATATGGACCAATACGTAGGTTAACATACATACCTAACTCTTCAGCTATTTTTATAAACTCTGTCACATTTCTGTTGCCTTGGAAGTTAAACCTACAAAAAGACGGTTAGCCAAGGGTTATAACTTCACTATGTTGTATATACTATAATATGTTTTTTGACAAAAAATAATTTTTTATATTATAGTAGATTGAACTCTCATTAAAATTAAAAATAGAAGTACATTAATAAGCTCTAGAATATTAGCACAGTAAAATACTTACTCTCCAGGCTGCTCTTCATGATAATTCCAAGCAATGTAGATCTGTGCCACATTGATACCCATAGCTTTAACTCTTTCCAGCCGATCTCTCCATAACTCATGTGGTATTCTGAAGTAATGTAGTTCCCCAGCGATGTAATGAAAAGGTTTACCATCTAATTCGAAAGTGTTCTTGGCACAATTTATCCCAAAATCACTAGAAACCAAGGGTAATATAATGAGTAGAAGGGTTTGCCAAATCATTGTGGACGCTAGTTGAAAAAAGTGGCTACCTCGTATTTTACAATGACTATTTCAGGCTTTACTTTGGTTTCTTTTGGCAACACAATAGCTTCTTCAAGTTCCTTTATGACTTCTGTAAGACTACGATGCTAGGCTTCCCAACGGCCTTAGACTTCAGTATTACCAATTAAAACCCAATCAGCCACTTCAACCTTCCCTATGACCACACTAATTCCAATGTGACAATCAATCTGCACGATAAAATGATAAAACTTCTAAACAAACGTTTGTATTTATTTGTTTTGTTGATAAAGCCGATATCACAGTGATTAGAACATTATCAAACTCTTCCCAATGTTGTTGTACAAATGCTAGTGGCTTGTTGACATTTCAAACAAAGAAATCATCTGCTGGTATTACGATAAGAATGTTTAACATTAGACTAAAAGATCACTTTTGTGAAGTTTAACCAATATTTTGATAAATTTTAGGTAAAAAATATTAATGTTCAGCGAATGTCAAGAGTGAACAACAAAGGAATGTTTATAAAGTCCATGAAAATAGATTTTTCCAAAATAATTTTAAAAGATAACCTTTGATTTATGTTTTTTTTCTACAGTCAACAAATTCCAAAGATATTTTTAACAGTTTCAATCAATCAATAAAAGAGCAAAGAGTCAAAACAAAGGAAAAATATAAATTTCGGTAAAATGTCTTGGTTTTCGCGATGTTCTTTGATCAAAGAAGCTTTGACGTAAATGGATGAAATAATGAAAGTTAAAGTAAGTTTTACATTTATTTTTTACATCTTATATTTAGGTATATTTTTCTGATTGGTTGGTAGGAATTCAACAAGTTTCCCTTCAATTCGACTAGCGTAACACAATCAGATGTTTTGAAACTCAACATAACCAAACGTTTCAAAGCGTTTAAGGAGAATATTGACGCGGATATGGATAATGTTTGAGTTCCTCGGCACTGTAAGATATTATTTTAGAGTTAAAGGACGTTTTTGTTGTGTTTCTGGTATATTTTCTTGACTTTTAGGCTTACTTTTTGTTGTTATTTGGCTTCAACAATATCAACTTGGAAAGCTGATTTTTGAGCAAAGATGAAGGCGAATGCTTACTTCTGTAATTTTTCTACCTAGGGAGAGAATATTAGATTATATATAGAACTGATTTCGTTCACTTCCGAAGCAATTGAGCAAAATCTAGATGAATATCGAAAATTAAGTAAGTATTACATTGTTTTTGCTGGTTTTAGGTTGCTTAAGGCCATAAAAGGTTATTTTGGTTTTGAAAGCCATAAAGAATAGATTGAAATGATAAGGAAGAGTTTCCATTGCGATTTTCTGATCTAATTTTTATTCACCTTCCGATCTACTTTCATATTTACCTTCAGAAGACATAACATAATATCGGTGATGAATCTTTTGAAGTAATGACTTTTTCTACTTTGTCAAAACAAGAAAACACTTTCTTAATCACACCCTCACGATGTTTTCTGAGCAACGTGATTATCGTTTATGCAAATTCATTACGAATTCTATTGAAAAGTTGGTTTGATTTAAAATTCTGGACGTAAATCCTATTTTCTGAAAAAAAAACTTAAAAAACTGTCAGAAGCGGTTTTCTGAACTTTTGATTTGTCTGTTGTTCTACCTGTTTTGGTACTGTAGCTTTTAATTTTGGTTAGGTCTAGAGAAACGTAATTTTTGGCTTTAAAAACATTTTTTTGGCGTTGCAGATTGCTTTGCTAACAAAAAGTAATAAGACTCTATTATTATCACAATCGTATTTTACTTCAAAAATCATGCTTTACTAATTCACTATACCAATATAACTCTTTACAACATATTCTTCCTCTAAAAGTCATTTATAACCTACTACAAGACAGTTTAAGTCAGTGGAATATATATTATACTTGGCCGGAGTAATCGTTCGTAACATTGTGTGAAGATGGCATTTAAAGGGTGAGTTAAGGCGAGTAATTCCCGCCAAGATTTATGTTTATGGGATCACTTTTTTCGGTCTCGAGGCACGATAACAACACTTCGTATGTTTTCAACTTAGAATCAGTTAATGTCTGTGGTGTCTTGGGTTATGTCAGATGACGTTTTGAACAGGAAGTGGTATTTTATGAGCATAATTTAGTGATTTTGGGTATACGTTGATATTATTTGATAAATATTGTCTTTTATATTATAGTACTAAAACCCTACCCAACAAAAACTATGTGAATCACGTGTTTTATGCCATTCGAACATAATTCATGATGTTTTGACATTGGGAACGTTATTGGCTAGGGGTGTTGGGCAATTAAAACCTCGTTTTAATGGCTTGTTTTGAAATTTATACCAGGATATATAAAGTGTTCCGTTTGGGATTTTTGTTATTTGTTTTTGTAGATAAAGTTCTGAATTCGAACATCCAAAGTTCTCAACCTGTCTTACTCAGAAGCATCTCAAAGATTTATAAGTTCCTTGTACCACTAATAGTACCCATAAAAAATCTTAGCTCCCGTTTCGAATTTTAAATATTTGGGTTTCCCTTCGGTTTGCCAATCTTGGCATTGTGTTGCAAGCACTTTCTAGGTAAGCTACACTTACAAATTTAAAAATGTAGGTCTATTTAAAGTTTTTCTACTTGTGTTTCAAAAAAAATTATTAAAAGTCAAAAAATGACAAAGTTACAAGCTTGAAACACAATGCCAATTTGGCGAGAAATTTATTTTTTTAAATTTTTGAGATTAAAAAGCTATTTTGATAAACGAAAAAAAACTTGTGGTGTTTTATCGTTAAAGTGTGTTTTTTTATTAAAAATTTACGTGTAAAAATGTTGATGTTATGGAGTTTTTTTTATTATACACAAGAGCTTTCCAACTATATTATAAAATCTGTAGAATTTAATATCTTAATGGAATCAAATACACTTTAGCACTATGCAGGCACACTCTATAGGCTATGGTTAGGGACGCCGCTACAGATTTTTTTGGGAGGGGTCACCCCTATTCGTCTCCCTTATAGACGTTTCTAACTATGGATCTGAATTGTCATCTTTATTGAATTTTATATGAAATTTTAAATTTTACAGGTGTTTTAAGTAGACTTTGCATTAGTTTTTTCACATAATTCTGTGTTGCTTCTCAAAGCAAATTTTACGGTGTAAAAGGGCGCAGAATTATTTGAACAACCTAATAAAATGATTTGGTTTTAACGTTGTAGCAGTATGAAAAAGGGTGCTAAAAGTACTGAAACGAGTTAGTATTTAAAAAATTGTTGATGTTTCAATGTTTGGTCTAGTACAAGCACTCTTGGTTTAAAATGACATCACATTTGCGGCATAAAAAAGTCAAGATTCAGAAGTTTTCGTTTTATGTTAATTCAAGTTTCCTCCTTCTCTTAAAAAACTGTTCTTCCTTGTCAGTTCAGTATAAAAGTTGTCGTTCAAAACTGACATCTTTATATTTTTGCTAGTATTTATACTGTTAAAAGTACGAGATTTTTGAAATCTTGGTCAATGTCAGCATTTGGAGATTTTAATTCTGGCTGTGGCATTTCTTAGATACTAGTCGTAAGCTATGGCGGAGGCTAGAAGTTTTGGTTTTATAGGGGAGGGAGGGGCTCATTGGGCTCGGCATTGTCTCGGCTCGGCCCCGCCTGGCTAAAAAAATGGTCTTGATCCCTTTACAGGTCCAGGACGGCAAACTACTTTTACTTAGTTGTTAGCCTAAAAACGCCGTTTTAAATTCCATAAACAGAACTGTTTTTATGTTTACACTTTATAAACAGTTATTGAATTGTACTTTTTTTACGGAATTATTTACTTCATAACATATATAGAATTCAAGTATAACACGAAGTAAACTTTTTTGTTAAAAACATGGAAATGGCTATGTTAATGTATCTGTACATGCACATATTTGAATGGTAAACAAAAAACATATCTTTTATGTTTTTTGGTAATATATGCGAGAGTATGTTGGTGTTGAGTAAGGTGGGGTATGGTATAGTAGGGAAGAGGGTAAGATGGGTGCAGTAGGCAAGGACAGGGTAGGTTGGAATTGGTAAGGATTTGGTAGAGTAGACTATGAGCAGGGCATGGCCTACAAAGTAGGACACAGCGCAACAACGCAGTACAGGCCAGGTTAAGACAAGGTAAGGTAGATTACGAACAGGGCATGTCCTATAAAGTGTAATAGAATAGACTAATTTAGTGTAGAGTCACATCACAACATCCAAATTTACTGTACCATCACTTTTTACCCCACCCTTCACGTAAAAACCTACGGGGACCAAAATAAAATGACATAACTTTAAAAAATGTCACTTTTCGACACTTTTTGCGGAACATTTTTCGGCTTCCGGGCATTGTCATGATAAGATCCCTAAGTGGCCCGCGATTCCGCCCCTATCCCCTCCGGGGTTCGACTGGGACGAGCCGACTCCATAAGTTTATTATGGTATCCCAAGTGGAAGATCCTCGCTTATGTCGCAACCTTTTCTTGTTGTGTTATTTACAATGTTTGTTCGTGGAGATACTAGTTATTCAGAATGTTTGTTGGGGGTACCAGTTTGCACCATGTTTTTAGGAGTTGTGTAGCGTGTAATTGTTGTTGTGGAAGGAGTTAAAAGATCGTTGAAATTTTTGAAAATTATGGAATGTCATCTTATTTTTTCAAAGTCATCGTACCATGTTGTACGACAAATTTTATGTTTTTTGCAAAAAAAATTATGATAGTTTTGCAAATTTAGGAACTTTTGTTTTGCAACATTTTTGTTTTTTCCTATGTGCAGTTGTAGTATATGTTGAAAAAAGTATATATAAGTAATGTCTTTAGACTAGAGAGTTGAAAACCCTTTGAATTTTCAACATTTCTATAGGTTGTCCAAATATAGCTGAGCTTTTCATAGCCGGAAAGTGATTTTTTTGGGTATCATGCTCAATAACCATATTGCAATGCAGCTTATAAAATATTCTAAAAAGCCAGCTCTTTTTTTAAATTCATATATCATTTGTATTTTTTGGTTCATCCATATTTGGACAAAGTGATAGAAAAATTTGGTTTTGGGTTTTATTACAATATTAAAAATTCAGGCTCGATATAATTGGCAACGTATTTTACAAAGATTTTTAGATTTCATATCAAATTCGCTACAAAATCACTTTTTATAACAGAAGATATCTTATTCGTAAATTTTGGCTTTTTTTTTTGCAAAACGTCTACAAGATAATTGTTTATACTGTTGTTTATAGTAAATTATGTAAGCTTTCGCAAAATTTTAAATTCTTTTTTATTGCTATTGTGTTATTTTTTCTATTTTTAAACACTGTAAATTCTTTTCGTGGTTTATCTTGTTATTAGAAAAGTTTTAAAATATAAAAAACACTCGATATAAATATAATAGAAAAATGTGGTTTTGAAGGACAAGAACACCATGTGCTTTTCGTTTATTTCAAAATCAACAGGCTATATATAATATAGTATTTTTTGGAAATTCTTAGAGTAGGGTAGGGTAAAGTGTAGCAGCGAAAGGCAGGACAGGGTAGGGTTTGGCAGGCTTGGGTAAGTTAAGATAAGGTAAATTAGGGTAAGATATGGTAGGGTAGAGTGGGGTAGTGTAAAGTGGGATAATGTAGGGTAAGGCGTTTCAGGATAGGGTATGGTATTGGCATGACAGGGTAAGGAACGGTAGGGTAGCGTAAGGTAAGGTAGAGTAAGGAGTAGAGTAGATTAGGGTCGCTACTATTTTGAAGACGAGGGGGTAAAATACGTCTTTCAATTCTTAATTTTGTCTAGGTCCATACTTTAAAACAAGGGTCTGTATACCTATTATAATATAAGGCTCTAGCTATATCTTGTTGCAAATCCACCGGCTTATATGTTACTCTAAATGTCTCCAATTGCAACCCCACAACTTTTGTGCAACTTCAAACTTTAAAACCGCGTTTTTTTCACAAAAATTTGAAACAAAATGCCCCAATTCCCACCAGAGCACCCACCGTGCACGGCGAGAGTCACTCACGACCGCCTAGTTTTTATACGCCTTTTATCTCTTTAGCGCCATGTTGGCTGGTGCCGCGGCTCACGTCAGATACACCAAGAAGCGCATCCCACAGATTAATCAGAACGCCACCGGGTCGCCGCGTCGCGTCCGCCGTTCCACCGTGAGTTGAATGTTTAGGAAATTGTCGCTCTCTTGTCTCACGCTTGCTGACATTCATAAGGTAGTTGTTATTGTGGGTGTGTACAGGAGTTTATGATGACTTTTTTAAAATGAATTAAAATTTTAGATAGGGTAGGGATTTTTGGTAGGGTAGGGCAAAAAAAAATTTTTTTTTAAATTTTAAAAATAGCTGAAAAAACGAATTAAGAGTCTTCTCTTGCCATCTTGACCTACTATTCAGTTTATTATTGTCATTTTAGCAAAGCCCTCAAAAGAACTCAGGAAGGAGAGGAAGTGCTGGCCCAGTTATTACAACAGAACGGCCGAGGACTTCATCAAATGGCAACAACAACTTTCTTACCGTACCCTTAACAGGATCGCCACCGTTCACCAGGAAAAGGTCTGGGTCCGTGCCTGTGATTCGATTTACTTTGGTAAGGGGTGGTATTTTATTTTGGTAGGGGGTGTTACTTGCTTTGGTAGGGGGTGGTATTTTACTTTGGTAAGTAGTTTTCTTTTACTTCGGTAAGGGAAATATTTTTACTTTGGTAAGGGGCGTTGTCATACGTTGGTAAGTTTTTGTGGTATGTTTTTGATGATATTAACAAGGAAAGTACCCAATCGGCCCTACTCAGAATCAGCTCAAAATTTTTATGTGGATTCTTTTCACCTCTAATGGTATCCATAAAAAAGTTTAACTCGGGTTTTTGAGTTTTAAACTTTAAATATTAGAAATTCCCGCCAATTCGGCAAATTTGGCATTTTGTTTCAAGCACTTTTTTCGACTTTCCAGACAAGCCAAGCTTACAAATTAAAAAATATAGGCTTATTTTAAGGTTTTCGGCTAGTATATCAATGAAAAGTGATTAAAATCAAAAAATGACAAGTTATACGCTTGAAACACAATGCCAATTTGGCGGGAAATTAAAAACGTAACTTTTTAATCTCGATTTTCTCTGGATTTCCTGGAACGCTCAATTTAGAACTGTTCTGAAGGTTTTATTTACATGATCTTTTTATATAAAAAGTTTTAAGTCAATCAAAGTGGGACAGGTCAAGCACTTTCTTTATAAAAAGGAAAAAATAAAGATTTAAAGGCCAGAACTTTTTTAGGCAGTTGCTTGGAGCCTAAAACCAGACTACATCAGAGCCTTGAAGATCACATGGGATCGACTGTGTGATGTGCCTCGGGCGAACTGCCGTGGTATTCTTGGCATTATGGAACGGGTATTCGAGAAATTTGAATCGGTAAGACATTTTGTTTTAATTTACGTCATACACTTAACGTATTTTACATATTTTAGATTAATTTTGTCTATACTGAACTTTAGTAGCTGAGGGGTTCTTATACCAAGATGTTATAAAACTTAAAAAAAGATCGTATTTTACCTTTTTAAGCTTCACCTGATGTATACAGATAGTTTCCTTACAACATAGCTACTTGTAAATGTCTATTTTACCATAAAATCATATCAAAAATGTCTACTTTAACATTCTTTCCATCTTTCACTGTATTGTTTGCTGTTGTTCATGTTACGTCGACAATAACTTAAATTTCCGATAAACAACTTCCGATTGTGTTATTGTAACATCCCAAAATACATTCAACACGCCCCAAAATAGACGTATTTTATTGAAGGAAGTGCGTTTCAGAAAGATAAACACATCAAAGAGGTCTTCTATCAAGCCGCCTTCGTCGATTCGATGGCCGACACCCACGGTCGACGACATTCGGACAAGTCCATAGCCACGTTGAGGGATCACATCCACTTCTTCGTCTCACTGATATCACAAGTAATTCATTCGTTGGAGAAGCCGGCCACCGACATTTTCGAGCATATTGACAAAATAGGTAGGGTAATATAAAAAAAATGTCAAAAAAGTAAGAAATCCGCTCTACCCAAAAAAAATTTTGACTTTGCTCTTCTCCTCATACCTAAACCCCTGCCCTGCAATGATTGTAAAGTCCAATGCACATACTAGTTAAAGTTATCATATATACTGTTATTTTAGGTGCCTACCACTATCACATGAAGAAGATCGGCTTCAATGCTCAAATGTGGGACACTTTAGGCGTGTTATTAGTGGATGCTATCGTTGTACAGGTAATTTTTCTCATTTTAAGCCCCTACCGTACCCTATCATGCCTTGCCCTACAATACCCTACCAACTTACCCTACTGTACATCTTTAATATAAAATGTCCTTATATATAGTACCTTTCCATTGTGTATACAATGCTATAACACACTTAACTGTATCATATACTCTGCTATAACATATATCTACTGTTACGTATAACCTATTATGAAATAATCTACTACATCATATACCTACTACAATATCAAATCCTTTAGGACTGTGTCCGCGGTTTCCCCGAAGCCTGTCGTTCCTGGACCTTAATGGTCGCGGCTCTAATCGACCGCCTCCGTTCCGCGAAAAAACAGTATGGCGCACCAGTAACCCTTCGCCGTTCCACAATGTTCCATCAGCCCGACCTACCGTTCCGATGCCCCAGCCCGACGCCACGATGTCCGGCGTCGCCGCGACGACGTGGCTCCATGACACCCGGCTCCAGTCCAATGAAAACGAGTCCATTATTGAAAGTTCAAGCCCCACCAACACGACCTCAGTCCAATCTTGTTGTCGATCAGATTATAATAAACTAAACTGAACTTTACAGTTTAATTGGCTTAAACGGGTTTTGGTATGTTGTTTTAGGCTTGAAAGTGAAGTTATAAAAGGTTTAGTCTTAAGAAATAAAAAAAAATGGATTTTATGGCAAAAATGACAGTTTAAAGTCAATTTCAGTCCTTAAAACCCAACCTCAACATAAGCTTAAAAACTAAAGGGAAGATTAATCTTGAGCTTCAAAATATCTTTACACGTCAAATAAATACCTTCAAAAGTAAGCGTGCAACGTATCATAAACAATATAACCCATCAAATATCAGTAAAATCAGTATATTTACTAATTACAATCAGCGCATTTGATATTATATTTAGCTGAATAAATATGATACAAATAAGTAGTATGAGAGTACTTTATGGAAGGAAGTTAACGTTTTCGTTTGGCTTCGTCTCCAGTAGGACACGATGTGCCTTCTGGATCTTCTTGATGTTGTTAGTGACGGTCTTGAGCTCGTCGATTCTGAACTTGGCCTTCTGCTCCAGTTTGCCTTCGATCTGACACAACTTCTGGATTTCCTCGTTGATTCGGACCACTTCCGAGTAGACCTCTGTGTAAAAGTCTTTGGCCAGCATGTCAATGTTCTTCATGGTGGAGATGGCGGTGGCTTGTTCTGCTACCAGCTGGGATTTGGTTCTTTCTTCAGTTTTGCATGCTCTTTCTAGTTCAATCGACTGAAAATGGAGATGCTTAAATATTGAAAGTGATGTGATCATACTTTATGATCAAAATAAGTGTAAAACTCAATCAAAAAGTCCGTCAATACTCTCTTTTTTAATAATAAAAGGCTCTTTTTTGATGCTAATAAAAGACCATATAATAGTCATCAACGACTAAAAAGTACACAGAACATCCACTATAAGTCAATTTAACCTTGCTTTTCAGCCTTACTACCAACTTTTTGATCGACCAAGTATAATATCCATTAAAAACGAAAACCTATCTTATTATCTTTACCTTTTCGTTAACGATTCCACATTCATTCTTGATACTTTCGTATATATCTCGGCTTTCTTGAACGGCTCTTTCGAATTCCTTAGTTCTGGTTCTGTCGTTCTCTAGGTCCATTTCGTAGCCTTCTCTCGTCTACAACAATATCGTTATGTTTTAAAATTGAAGGCCATTTTTATGACATTTTGTTTCAAACAGCACAAAAAGGACCTACAATAACATGCCAAAGCCACAAAATTAAATTTTATAAAAAAATTTTCAAGAATTAAAAAAAAAAATTCAAAATTTCAAAAATATTTTAAATTTCAAACCTTACCATTTTAATCTTGACCTGTAGGTCCTCATTTTGATTCCTTTGACCCATGATCTTCTCCTCCAGACTTCCCAAGCCAAGTGTTTCAATTTTAGCCTTAATCCCCTTATTTATAGACCGAATCATTGTTTGAAACGATTGTGCCACAGCTCCACTCATGCCTTCTGTATTCAGTACGTCTTTCGCTTTTCCGAATAAAGCTGTTTCTAATTGGTCGACCAGTTCAGCTTGAACTCCTACTTCTCTAGCCATGCTTGCCAAGTCACTTGCAAACTTTTTGAATTGGCCTAGCTTGGTGTGATTTGTTTTTTGATAGTTACTCTGGGTGTCTGTATGAGCTTTGCGGAGCTTTTCGGCTTCTGACTTCTTGTCGTGAATGTCTTGTCTCAACTGAAAATTAAAACTTTAAAAATAAAAGCTTAAAACATCTAAAAAATGTCATTTTTAGTCAAAATCTCTTATCAAATATCAGATTTTAGGCTTTCACATGCTTAAAACTTTTAAAAATTTCAATTTAATCCTTTAAAATTAATAAATTTTTGAAAATAAATAAATAAATAAAATTTAAAAAAAAAAATTTTCGACAAAAAATTTTTCAACAACCTCTCTTATCCTCCCCTTGTCTTACCTGAGTTCTCCTCTTCAGCAAAGCTCTTGCTTCATCCGCGGTCATTGGCTGTGCCTTGATCTTGTTCTTAAGTTCATCTATCTCTTGACAATGTGTTTCTACCTTTTCTGTCAAATTATTGTGTTCGGCTATGATGTTCTCCTACAAAATTAAAGTTTAATTCACAATTCTTCGCATAAAATCATCAAAAATTATATAACTTTCAACCTAAATGATCAAAAAAATATATGAAAATAATATTTTTTGATAAATTAGGTAACATTTTATTATATTTTTGTATTTCCTTAATTTTCCGATTTAAATCTTCATTTTAACTAATTTTATGTTACCATACCTTTTCCACGACCAATGCATTCATTTTTTCTTTCTTCTCTTCTACCTCTCTTTCCATGTTTTCCTTCTTTTTCATTTGTGTGGCTTTCTCGGCTTCATTTGAGCAGACAGCCTTCTCTTCCTGAAAAGCATACAATCCCACAGACCTTTTGACCGATTCCAAGTATTAAAAGAGACTATTTTGACCAAATGCCAGTATTAATACACCCTATAAAAACTTCGAAGACCTTATGAAGCTCAAAAGACCTACCAATTCGATGCTATACTTCAAGTCGACCATTTTCTGTCTCAATTCCTCTACTTCTTTCTCTTCTTCTGTCTGTGATTCACTTTCAACTATGAGTTCTTTGAAGATTTCATACGTTGGTTGAATGTCCTCACCTTCTGGTAGGTTACAACAGTGAATAACGTACGATACCACGTACTGTAATATCAAAATTATTAAAAAAATATCTTTAGAAACTTGTAAAAAATTATTAAGTTATTAACTTTTAAGCCTAAAACTTTTAGTTTTCATAAAAAATATATTATAGTAAACCTACAGCATTGTCATCCTCTTCATTTCGATAGGCTTTCTGCGGTCTAGTGGCAACTTTTGTCAGCCAATGCAGAGCCTTCAAGAAGAAAGGCCAGTTATGTGGAGAGTTGACAGTCATACACATGGAAGGTTTGATGACATATGGGTAATGTAAAACCGAGAATAAAGCTGGCATAGTCTGAAATTATAATTTTTTGAGAAAAATGTCATTTTTACGTTTGTATACGCTCTACCTTTCTTTTTTTATTTAAAAGCACCAAAAAGTTTAAATTGTTACCTAAAACTTAATTTTTTTTTAATTTTTTAGAGTAAAATATAATAATACCTTTTCAATTTCCTTCTCAGCCTTGTAATTTGGATCAATACATTTGACGATGAACTCCAGCCATGTTCTGAAGTCATTGAGTTGAGGATTCTTGAGACTTCGCTCCGAATAGTTGAACTGAACTCCTTGGTCGTCGAAGAACCTCATCAATCCACAAATATCTTCTTCTTTCGTGCTTTTCTTGTTCGGAGCCATCGACGGACGACGAACGGATGAAGATGCTACTGACCATCGGTTGTAGTTAGTCCTAAAGTACGTAAAAGATATGAAATGTATTAAAAAATCGCAAAAAATTTTAAAAATTGAAAACTTAAGCTTTCTGTATCTCCAATATAAAAAATATATTGTAATGGCTTGAATAGCAAAAAGCTTTCTTATACAAAAATTGAATTCCTCACCCTGTAGAAAGTCTTCCAACTCCAACACTGCTTTGTCGGCCCACCGACGGTCTTCCAATCGAGGGTCTCATCTAAAACAATACAAAAATAACCTAAAAACCAACAAAAAACACAATTTTTCCGCAAAACGCCAAAGAAAACCAAAAATAAGCCAATGTTAACATCTAAAACAATACCCAAACCAACAATAACCAAAAAAATAACAAAAAATATAAACAAAAACCCTAAAACTCGATGAAAACCACCTTAACAATAAAAAACCTTTAAAACACGTAAAAAATCCAAAAAACCAAAGATAATCAAGGTTTAAAACCTGTAAAGAACAAAATCAAACAAAAATACCTATGAAAAACGACCGGCAACTTGTATTTAAAACCGAAATAATTAAAAATATACAACTAAACTTGATAAACGTGTGACAGTGTACTATTCCTGAGGATCGTCGATTCCAGTAGCAGTGATAGAGAAAGTGCATTCCGATTCTGGAAGGCACGGTGAGTCGTAGATTTTGCAAATTCTGTTGGGTCCTTTACCCTTTCTCAGGTAGAGACGAGTAGTCGAGCTGTGAGCCATAATATTACCACCAATCGGCTTCTTGGGATCAGCTTGAAACATGCCTCCAGCCATGTCAACTTGAGCTACTACTTGGTTTGTGATCACCACGGCTACGCCAAACTACAATAATATTGTAAAAAATAGACCGTTTTATAACTTTTTCAAAAAAAAATAAATTTTATTAAATTTTAAGCTGCTTTACCATCAATATAACGTTTTTTAAACATATAAACCTACCTCATCAGCCAGCTTCATTAAACCTCTCAAAAACTTGGCCAAATGCATTTGTCTCGCGGCCAACTCTCCTCTGCCAGAGTAGTCCGTACGATACAAAGCCATAACACTGTCCACAATCAGTAAAGCATATCTGAAAAAAAAACTTCATATGTTATACCTAAACATTTTACAACACCTATCTTATACCTTAATTATACTAGAAAAAAAGTATTCTTAGACATGGCCTTTAATCAAAAAATAGAAAATGGCAGACATACTACCATAAAATAACATTAAAGTATATTACCGTGACTCAGACATCATTGCGGCGGCCTGCACCAACAACTGCATCTGATGATCCGTGTTATGGCATCTAGCATAAGCTACATTGTCCAAGACGTCTTTTGGTGATAGCTTGTACCTAAAAACTTGACCTTATAATTTCAAGAAAAAATAACTCTAAAGTCACCATCGTTTCCAAGTAAAACTTAAAATACCTCCAAATGAACACTGATATACATGAACAATATCATATCGTGTTAGAAAAGCCGCCTAAACGTAAAATACAACAAAGAAAGTAAAAGCATACCGATTAGCAATAGCCAACAATCTTTCTGGTCGAAAAGTTCCTTCCGTGTCAATCCACAAGCATTTTCCTTCAGCTCCACCCATATCAACAGGTAACTGACAAATCACTGCCAACGAGTGACATAACTGTGACTTTCCTGTTCTGAACTCACCAAAGACCTAAAATAAGGTTTTAGAGCACATGACAGCAAGTAAAACTGTTTTTAGATAAAAATTACAAGATTTAACCTATTACACTCAAAAAAAAGTACAACAACTAAAACAATATAATATAACACATAAAACATAAATCTTTAGTACCAGATATAATATAAAACTACAGTTCCATATATATTAACGTAAATAACATACCTCAGTGATAGATCCTGTCTCAATGCCACCACCGAGAAGACGATTCAGTTCGCGACTCCCCGTCTCAATCTGAATAATCTCTGATCGCTTAGAATGAACATCAGAAGCGGTGGTAAATCCCATAGGAACTAACTTAGCTGCCTCAGTCTACATATTATGTTATAACACATGAGTATATACAAAATAAGATATCAAACGGTCATAGCCAAAAAGTTTTATACAATAATATAGAAATCAAGTATAATATTCAAAAGAAATCAATCCAAACACTTTACAGCTATAATAAATCACTTTTTATAATTTCTAAATCAAAAATACTTTTACATACTTTATGTAAAAGCAAAAAATACGTCCATATCAAAAAACTTAAGAAATAAAAAAAATATTGTTTTAGACTACATATCAACTACTATAGAATTTTTCAAGCCAAAACTTACAAATATCTTTTCGGCCTTCTGTTCACTAATTCCCTTAACATTCAGAAGATCCTTCTTTGGAGCATAGACTACACTTTCAACCGTATGGAAGCCACTTTCTCTCAGTTTTCTCAAATCTGTCGCTTGAATCCCATATTGCTGAAATTTTCATGTAAACCTTTACAAATCCATGTAAACACAACTAAAAGATCTATATAAACCATAATAACAGCTTCTTCCATCTATAATCTACCTAAAAACACAAAAACGAATATCAAAAACATACCTCCAATCTTTCTACAAGCATAAACGGAGACGCTTCATCTTCATCTCCATTAGTCAACTCGTCCGTCAACAGATGAGTCGCTTCAACGGCCGTCTTTTGAGTAGTCTTGCCTTTAGGCACATGTTTAGCCATGGTAATATCTATAGATATCTAATTTTTACATAAAAAACACAAGTAGATGCAGATTTCGACAAAAACTCGTCTTCGAAAGGCGCTTTCCCGCCAAAAAATATTTTCGAATAAAAGCGACATTTTATACGATGGAAAGTGTCCCAGTAGATGAAACTAGGAAATTATGACAGGATTATGTTTTACTGGTATAGTTTTGTTTATCTATTAAATTTTGGCAGTTTTGACATTGTTCTTTACATATTTTTAAAAACTTTTTGTTGTTGTTTTAGTAAGTGATATATGTGTCACGATTTTTATGCATAACTTATGAATGAGCAATCGAAATTTCCTAAAATTTAATGAAAAGGTAGACAAAATATTGTTTTTTACTATGATTAAAAGATTTTTTAATTTTTTTAGTCTTTTGCTTAAAAACCAAAAGAATCATTACTCATCGTCGCTCAATGTAGTGCCATTCTTATTGTTGTAGATTTATCGCAAATTTTAACATTCATAACCCCTAAACCGCTTATATCCGAAAGCGTGGATCGAACGCTGTTTTGTTTGACAAAGTTTTTGTGTTTGCGTTTGAATTTTAAGCCTTGATCACACCTCCTCGAGAGCTGGGTCAGTCTTCAGAGGAAGCGAATCGGAACTGAAGACGAGTGGACAGTCCACTTCTCGCTTTGTTTCCTCATGGCGCCTGTGATTTCGTATGTGCGCGGTGACGTTCCGACTCCAGAGTATTTGCCATATGAGGACTCGGGGCCGGAAACACCGTCGCCACGGCCCGACCCGATTCCGTTGGAGTATCGGAAGAGTTTGAGGTGAGATTGACAGTTGATTTTTGGGCATTTTGATAAACGTGTGATAGTGACAGTTGTAAAATACGATTTTAAGGGCCTTTTTGAGTTTTTAATAGTACGTTTAGTAAAGCTATGTAAATTACAAAGGTTGAAAATAGGTAACAAAATTTTTCACAAAAATTTTCGAATTCTTTCTTAAAAATCAAAAGCTAAAATTTTAGATAACATAATTTTAGAGAAAGTGGCTTCAGCTCATCGTCAGGGACTTCAGAATCTCCACCATCGAAAGAAATTCCAGTCAAAGCCGAGAATTTTTCAAAATTACTCAAATTATTCCAGGTAAGTCAAGTTCTCATATTGTAGTAGACACAAAACTTAATTTTTTGGTTATGACAAAGGATATTTTATAAAATTTTTTAAATATTTAATAAGTAAACCTAAAATCAACTTTTCAAGCCTAAAATAACCTTTGCAACCTTAAAATTACCTTTTAACCTATTAAATTCGACTTTTTCACCAAAAAATCAATTTTCAAAATTCAAACCCAGAATTTGGCGCCAATTCCTGGCATAATGTTTCATTTTGTTTGTATGTGAAACGAGGTTTGTAAATATCCTCACCCACCACTTTGGAGTGTGTGACAATCGTTTTTTGATTCGAAGTGCACGAAATGAATTGAAAGCCTACTTGATTCACGTGGAGAACGTGGAGTGCTTAAAGCACAAACACTTATCACTAGAAACCGCTTTTCCAATTGTTATCTTTTTCGTTTACTGTAGTTTTTGGGACTGTTTAACAGGGTTTTACTTGTTATATTACAATTTTGATGCAGGGGTAGTTATTTATAATAAAAAATGGGTTCATAACTGGGCGCGTCCGGGAAACAGAAAAAGGACTGGGGGTAGATCAGAGGCCACTAGGCTCAGTCCCGTGTTAGGGGAGGAAGAAGCTTGGCAGGCCGAAGCAATTTTGAAAGCGCAAGGCCGGGCCTGAATTATGGCTTGGCTTTTTTACAAGCCTAGCCAGGCCTGAACATACTCTTACACTTACCAGACCAAGTGCTACAATAGTGCCACTTTACATTACAATTTTGATGTTTTCAGAAGGATAACCACCAATCAGATGACAGAAGAATGGAACAATCAGAAACCTTCTCTTCTGATGACAATGACTGTTGTTTTACCATTACTGAAGTAGGTAGCTTTGAAAATGTTGTGTCGAAGTTAAACCAAGCCTCTGACGGGCAAGCCATTTTTGTTTGGGGAGGATATTTTTTTCAGTGTTACAGTTTTAACTATTTTTTAGAAAAAGCTAGAACACAAGCAGTACAAAGCCTTCAAAACACCGGCCAAAACACCTTCACTTCTGTCATTGAATATACGAGGTAAGCATTTTAGTAAATCTGTTTAATGTGGAAGAGTATTGTAAATATAATAATATATTTAATAAGTTTGTCGATATATATTTTGAAAAAATATATTATAATTTAGAATATGCCAATTCCCAACAAAGTCCGGCGTTCCATTCGCCACGGTCGGTCAGAACAGCCATCTCTCCCACAAATTCTATCAAGTCAACCGCTTCTGACATGGTTTTTCATCAGGTAAAGTATTTTTAAACTAGACTACAGTGAAACCTATTTAGTATAACTCTTAATAGTATGACAGTCTCAGTATAATGACACTTTTTGACTGCTATTTATAATAGCTCTTCTATCAAAAAATACCTGGGTATTGTGACACTCTGGTTATAAGGGTAGGTTTAGACTTGTCTTTTGAGTGTCATACTAAAGAGGTTTGACAGTATAAATTAGAAAAGTTTTTTATACTATTTTTGGCTTTATGAGTCTACTCTGTAAAGAGTTATAGCTAAAATAGGGGCTTGAGGGCTAATTTTTGTCAAAAAAAGGATATTGGCCTACACCTGAAAAAGGGCTCACTAGCTTTGATTCGACTTTGGCCTGGGCCTTTTTGACCCAAACCAAAGCAGATTTGAAAACGGACGGGCCAGGCTGAGCCGAGCGGGCACATAAGGGCTCCAGGGTCTGGGCCAAAAGCAAGGTCAAAAAATTGGGACCTGTCCACTTTACAGGTCTACACTGAACAGGGTTTTGATAAAATTTTAAATTTAACTTGATAAAATATGGGTATCTTATAAAGCATATCAATTGAGCAATCCTATTTTACAAACCTCTCTTTCAGATGGCAGTGTCACATTCATCAACCTTAGCGTTTGTCTCCAAAAACTACAGTAAAATCCTTCGAGAACATTCTTTTTCGAATCAAATTGGCGTCGAGATTTATGATCGGTAAGATAATCACAATACTATTGAAAAACATACAGTTTACTACAGTATACTTTATATATAATATTACTGTTGAAAATACTGTAGGCTGCAATATATTATAATAGCACTATTGAAGATACCGTAGAGTACAGTATACTTTACTGTATTACATACTATTGAAAATACAGTATACTACAGTATGCTTTACATTGTAAAGTTTACAATATTAATGTTGAACTTAAAATCAAACATATAATTCAGTATTGTTTTAGAGGTTCATTATCGAATATTGTGTTCAAATCGACCACTCCAACGATGGTCAAAGAGAAAAATGTGTTGTTTGATGCTACTTACGTATCGACGGCTTATCATGAGTATCCTGTTACTGTAATGGTAAGAGCTTTTTATCGCAGCATCTTTTTTAAAACTTTTTTTACATTCAAAGTACGTGCTATGGGCGTGTTTTACCTTTTTTTTAAAGTTTTTATTAGTGCAGTAGGTTACTGTAAGTTCACTGTACTGTAATATTATAAACTACTTTTTTACAACATCACCCTTTGTGTTAAAAAACATACATATACCATAACATAAACAGCCTCTACCCTTCCAGATAAGCCCAGCAGACACATATGCTCCATTGTTAGGCCGTCACGCTGACAAGTTGTTTGGACCGCCATGTTTAGTTGAATTTGAAGAAATTACTGTAGAATTGGCACAACTATTAGATGAAGGCGGGCAGGATTTGAAATTACAGAGCACATTGAAGGTTACTGTAATGCCACAAATGCACGTTTGCTCATTTCCGGCTTTGGCCGCTCATAATCAACATAAGGTAAGATAAGTTTAAAGTTGGATAGGATAGTGTGAAAATGGGGTAAGGTAATGTAGGGCAGGCTATGGTAAGGAAGGGTAGCGTAGAGTAGGGTAACGTAGGGTAAGATACGGTGGGGTAGGGTAAAGTGGGGCAGGGTAGAGTAAGATAAAGCAAGTTAGGGCAGGGTAGGATATAATATGTCAGGGAAAAGTAGAGAATACTAGAAAAAACATTTCATAACTCATTTTCAGTGTATAAACCCATCAAAACGTGAAGAACAGACCGTCTTCATCATGATTCAACTTCTGAATGCTCTAAAATGCCTCCAGGCGGATGGAATCGAACTCCTCTCCAACAACTTCAAAGAATTCCTCTTATCATATGAAAACCCCAAAAGCAAGCCCTTTAGCCAATCCCTAGACCAATTACCACGCCTTTTACTTCTTCGCTCCACGGTGGAAGAAGAATCCGTAGACGATAACACGGCTTCTGAACCCAAAGTTTCTTTGTGTAAATATGCCCTCCGGGCGTTATTCACCTTATTAGGGCTGAAGATTCAATCTAGGATAGCCGAGATCACAGAGAAAAGTAAATGGTCGAATGGCCTGAGGAAATGTTCACAGATTCTGAATATGGAGAGAAGCTCATCGTTGACTGATGCTCAACAAACTCTAGAGTTCTGCTTCTTTGCTCAAGATCAGGGCTTTGATAATGATATGCAGGCAAAGTTGTGGTTGGATGAGCAGAGGGCCAAATATGTTAATCAGGTGGTAAGTGAGATAATATTGAGATCAATGTGAGAATCAATAAAGTCTTGTCGTTTTTTAATTTGAAAAAGAATGTAAATTGACGCCAAGACTTTTTCACTCAAAAAAAATCAATTTCAGCCGATATTAAGAGACACAAATGACAGTTTTTATTCAGTTCTGCCTATTTTGAGAGTTAAAATATCAAGTTTTAGGTCCGATGGCTGGTGGAGAAAGAACGAAGAATGATAGACCCCAAAGAGAAACAATACCTCGTCTTTTTACTAGGCTCTACTCCTCGACAACTTTCTCGAATCGCTCACAATTTTAGAAGGACCCATTCATAACTTGACGGTACTGAATCAGGTAGTATCAGTATAAAAATATTACTGATAATATCGATATATCAGTACCGCTGATGCTATCAGTATATCAGCATTACTGATACTACGAGAACTACCTAAAAACGACTATATCTTTCAACATGGCCTGTGATATATGTACATACTATGGTGTATAAATCTGTCAATAGTAAACTTAAGCTTTTCTTTAGATAGGCGTAGTTACCAAAAGTCCTTTTCTATATCTACTCAATGTTTGGTTAAAATGGCAAACAAAAATCAATGTTTTAAAAAAGATCTATTGGACTGAAGATAGCCATTGTCAACTAAAAATATCATTTTATAAAAATTTTATTTCATTTTTAATCGTTTCATCATATTCATTATCCAAAATCAACAATAACAACAAATTCAACAAGAAAAATTACAAAATTGGGAATTGACAAACAATGGGTTAGTCACAAATTCATTTTAGATTTAATACCTCGTCATGGCTTTAACATCTCGATCAGTAATTCTACCAGCAGCAAGAATATTCTCCAAAAGGTCGTCACGGTTGTTGTAGTAGTTGCGCTTTGGTCTAAAACGATTAAAATTTTATATTTATCAAGAATAACTACCTATTACTTTTCTATCGATTAAGATACAGTACCTGTTTCAAAGGATCTAAACTGATTTCTCTTACACCTTATCACAAAAAATAAGAATCTATTAGGTTGTTCAAATAATTCCGTCCCCCGTAATCCCGAAAATTTACTTTGAGAGAAGGCACAGAATTATTTGAACATACTAATAGCACAAAATCAGTACCTTACCCTCTGTTTTGATGGTGATTTTGGTTCCTTTGAGGTCGGTTAAAGTCTCTACCACCATGATTATTATCCCTGTTGTTCCAACGATTATTATTAAACTTATTACTATTACCACGGTTGTTGTTCATCGGGCGTCGCTTCTGAAACAAAATTCATGAGTCTGCGTACTTCCCCAAGAAACGCGCTTTATTAAAATTATTTTCATTTTAAATATACTATAATATGGAAAAACTTTTTCAAATAATTCTGTGCCCCTTAGCCCGAAAAATTGGCTTTGAAAGAAGGCACATAATTATTTAAACAATCTAATAGTATCCTTCTTACCTGTGGAGAAGAATCCCTGTTACAATTCGTCTTCCTCTCTTGATGAAGTTCCTCCACTTCACCTTCTGACAGCTTTACCATCTCTTTTGGATCCTTGTTCAACAACACAATAAATTCAGGTCGTTCGGTCAAGAATTTGTTTCTCAAATTGTCAGTGAATGATTTGTTAACATCGATTCCATAATATTTGGTTTGATCCTTAATAACAACCGGCATGTAGACGACTAAATTGTCCGGATTCTGGGTAAACGGCTCCATTTTAATTTGATCCAAGTCGCCTTTTGAGATCAGCGGTCCGTAAGTTTTTGGACGGACAAACTGTCTAATTAAAGTTCGAACAGTCAACGTCTCGGGAATGTTTGTGACGGTATAAGAGTATACCTCAAGTTCGGAGTCTTCTACTACTTCTGGAATAACGTCTTCAATCAAGGGAAGTTCTTCCAAGTCTTCTTTGGTTAATTCTGAATCCGGAATTTGAGATTCAGAATGATTAAGCGACTCCTCTGGTTTATCAGATGTTTCTTCCAATTTGAAAGCTGTTTCTTCCGGTTTATCTACAGATCCCGTTGATTGGTCTTCATTCTTTCCTTGAATATCTTCTCCTTCATTATCTGAAGCCAACTCTCCATCCTCAACATCTGATTCGTAATTTGGAACGATACCCGTAATTGCAGATTGTTGAGTAATAACTTTAGATTCTGAAACCTTCAAAGCTTCAGAACTTGTAGTTGATGTAGATTCAGAAGCAGATTTCGTAGCTTTATCGTCGTTTCCTTCTAATTCAGGCAACGAAGGACCAGTTGAAGCTTTGTTAGAAGATTCCCCAATTTTCTTCATAGCTGTTTGCCAATCCCATTTGCTTGAACGAGCGAAAGTAACTTTGACGTCCCAAAAGATGGTATCGGAAAAGTTTTCATGTCTTGAAGATCCAACGTCTGAAAAAGATACGTGTATTTTTTAAATTTTGAGCAAAAATAATACCTACGGATAAACTAACGTAACTTTATATTGATCCAAATTTTAAAAGACCTTTTTTTTGGTAGCTAAAGGAATACACTATCTATAATCCCACAAAGTTCTAAACTGTTGGCTACCCGCTAGAAAAAGTTATGACAATAACTAGCTTTCGATTCTTCTTTAGAAAATACCTAAAGTTCAATAAAATAATTTGAATCATCGACTTACCAGCAGCATCTTTAATATTCAACCAAACTCGTTTCATTCGACAATTCTTCAACAACTGATAAACTGGATGTGGAAAATGCGGTTGTGCTTCTTTAACTTGACTCTTCACCTCGACTTGCTTTTCCTCTGTTTTCTGTCCCTTTCCTTCACTGTTTCCATCCTTTACCTTCTCTTTAACCTCGCTTAAGAACTCTTGATCCCTCACAGAAGTATTCGGATTGTATTCCGAATATTTGGCGACAGCAGTCCATCTCTGAGGCAATCCATCACACTAAAAACATAAATAATATTAAGAACTATAGCTTACAAGTCTGTCTAGTTTGTGTTGCTTTACACAAGCCACACAACAACTTCTGAAGGCACATTTTGGACAAGTATATTTTGATTGAGAGTCGTTACATTGCTCACACATCATTTCCCGTCGAGATTTTTTGGTGGCAGGCGGTTGATCATGATCAACATCTTCTTTAGCGGCTGCAGCATCTAGATCTTTAAAAACTTGTTGTCTTGGTAACAAACATGGTTGAGAAAGCTCCATATTTGTTATTGCGGAGAAGAGACTTTACCAAAAAAATCAAGAAAAATATCCCAATTTATTGTTTGACGAAATGTCAAAAAAACATTGGAAAAGTAAACGAAGTGCCACACGTTTTATTAGGTTTTGTAAAATTGTGCTTTGAAAGTGTGTAAAAGTCGATTTGAAGTTTATGTTGTTGATTATGATGTTTAAATATATTTTTCTCACTTATTTTTTAAATATTTTTTGCAAAGTACTGTCTGTAAAGTTTAATTACTTTTTGTTTCTCTTGTTTGTTCTCGCGATTAACATTAAAGTTGTTATTCAAGTACAGCATTGTTTCCAACGGATTTACTCTGTAATGAACGTAAACTAAATTTTGCAGTTAATAAGGTCAGAGGTGTCTTTTCAGGGTTTAATCGACATGTTTACCAGCCAATTTTGTGGATTATCTCGATGTTTCGGAGAATATTACACATGATAGGGTAAGTTATTTGAAATTAATCAGTAAATGTTGTGATTACAGTAACTATAGCTGTGATATTAATGTAGTAAATAGTAAGGGGCTTGTAGAAAACATTAGTAAACGTATTTTTATGCAAAATGTCAAAAGTATTGTAAATTTGAATGTTTTCTGGCCAAAGAATGTCTATGTTAATGTTATTGACTAGTGGATGATAACGGAATTTTTGTTTACACCACGAAGGAATTTTATGATATACTATTCTTTAATCTTACATTAGTATGGTTAAGCGAATTTACTGTGCTTTTTAGTATTATTATTCCAGCTTTGAAATTTTGAAATCGGCTTGGTTCGTGTGGTTTTCAAAGTTTTCTTACCTTTTACATTATGTTATAGTAGACTAAAGAACTTTCTGACTTTTTGACGATCTTTGAGGTTTAAAAATATGCTTTTTAACTTTGTTTATCGGGGCAGGACAGAGAAGACCAAACGTGGCGCGGGCAGGGCAGAGAATGGCGAAGCAAGGCAATAAGGGCAGGACAATACAGGGCAGGTTGAATCTTGGGGTACGGTAAAATATAAAGAGTAGGTCACGGTAGGACAATAGGGTAGGAAGTATTTTGTTTAAAAATAGCTTTTTATGAGCTATTATATTAATACATGTCATAAGATTTGTAGTAAACATACATGGTATAAACTCTATAGTAAACATGACAAAAATCTTACAGCATAAACATACATGACATAAATCTTTTAGTAAATCTATTATTTATGTCATGAACCGCTCTCTAATCAATGTACTTTGTCTTTTTAAGGGCTAAAAGCGTTGTCAGTTTATAGTAAATATGTTTGTTTTGTTTTCCAGCTGTTTTACAATGTAATCCACAACAAAGCGCATATGTCTAAATGTAGAATCGGCTTCAGTGTATGATTTATGATCGAATTGTTAAACAACCAGAATGTTTCATTTACGTATATTATGAAAAGTTGTTCATTTGTTATGCGTTGTTTTGAAACTGGAAATATTGGTATATTTTGAAACTTTAAAGATTTAAAAATGGGGGGACTAAAGAGAGAGGCAGGGCAAGGAAAATTAAGACAGGCAGGGCAAAGCAAGTTAAGGCAGGTTAGGTCCGAGCAAAGAAGGTTAGGGCAGGGCAAGGTTGGTTAAGGCAGGGCGGGGTAGCGTAGAGTAGGGTAGGGGTAAGACAGGACAAGATAGGATAGGTAAAGCAAAGTGAGGTATAGTAATGTAAAGTAGTGTAGGATAAGGCAGGGTGGTAGGGAATGGAAGGTAGGGTAGGGTAGGACAAAGTAAAACAGGGAATGGTAGGATGTAGGGCAGATTCTTCCCTTGCCCGGCAGTGCTTATATGCCTTTGTATAAAGATACGTTTTTTGTGCAAGAACGAGTATGAATATCTTCTGTTTTACTTTCGAATCACAAATCTATAACACATTGGCTTGACACAGCTTAAAAATAGTTATTTCAGTCTCTTTAGCATGACTTACAGTCTTTCAGAGAAGCAAATCTGGAATATTACTTTAGATTTCCAGGCTTAAACGCTGTTGTTGTCTCGGTATGATACAGTTATTTTTGGCGCACTAATCCTTCATTTTTAAGCCTTATATTAACGTTGCTTTTTTTGTCATTTTATTTTTGATTATTTTTAGAATGGTATAAGTACGACATACAGAAAATTACTGTATTTTACAAAAAATTTAACTCTAAGGTTATCTATTACATAATTATAATATTGTAAGTATAGTTTCTCTAGTAACAAAAAAGGATTACATTTATATTGTCATAGACGTTTACTTTATAAACCTATATGTAATAAGATAATATTGATATCATAGCTACATTGTACTGCTTAAATGGTTCAACATAAAAATAAGTACATAGTTTGTATAATATGTCAATCTTCTCAAACATACTAACTGTTTTAAGTATTAAAACTGCATACTGTGCTTTAAGATAATCTCAATGGATGTAAAAGTATACGACATCAATGATATGACTAACTAGTATTAGTGATGGTTCTTTGCATAGATATGAGTATGAACATCTACATGCGTATGTATACTAATATAAATATAGAAAACAGTGTAATAGTCATGGTATAAATTTTTTGAAAGTGATGTTTAGTTAAAATAAGGTAAAAATACAATAGACTATGGTGGGACTACAGTAGATTGGAACAAGTTAGGGTAGGGTAGGATATTATACGTTAGGATACGGTAAAGTAGGGTAGGGTAGGGCGAGATAGAGTAAGGTACCATATTGTTGGGCAAGACAGAACAGGGAAAGACAGGTCAAGACAAGGCAAACTAAAGCAATGTAGCTCTTCTCATTCCAATATCTATATGTATTTACATGTTTGATGTATGGTATTTGCATGTTTGGTATGTTATGCACATGTATAATGTAAACATATAAACAAACATGTACATGTTTTCAAATAAACACAATATCACTGTAGCACAACATGTAGATGTTTGATATATGCCCTTCAATAATATCAACTCATGACTTTAAAAAACTTGATTTTATCAAATCTTGATGATTAGATATTACTTTAGAAGATTAGAAACTTGTTTTTGGCTATATATCACTGTGAAAGATTAGAAACAGTTAAGATGCATCTTATTACTGTTGATGTAAACCATCAGCTTAACGTTAATCTGAAACTTGATTGAGAAATTTTGATTAGTTTCAGCCTTCTTTGAACTGATAAGGTGTTTGGATATTAATGGGATAATCAGTCAGATCGTACTCTAATTGAAAATTATTAAATTTCAATTAAATTACTTTAAAATACGAAATTTAAAAACATTATTTGATTGTGGGTTTACAGAGTAAATTAAAAATTAATTTCGAAAGATTTAGCTTTTGAACGTTTACGTAGAAAGATGCTACGCAAAACCGCAATAACTTAATTTACAACGTCTGGAAAGGGTTTTACTTCCAGAAAAACGAAATTTTTGAAAAAAGTGTTCTTTAATTTTGGATAGCTATGGCTGAGGCTTGGACTAGGATTATGGCTAGGGCGAGGGCTGAGGCTAGGTTTAGGGTTAGAACTTAAGTTAGGGCTAAGACTGAGGCTAGGGCTAAAGCCAAGGGTAGAGTTGTTGCTAGAGATAGAGCTCAAAACTAGGCCTAGGGCTAAAGCTAGAGTCGGGGCTAGGGTTAAAGTTAGGGGTCGCGTTAGGGCATTATGGCTGAGGCTAGAGCTATGGCTCGGGCTTGCGCTTGGGCTAGGATAGAGCTAACCAAAAAAGATAGTGTTAGGATTCTTTTGTTTTATAACAATACTGTAGTATTTATTTATATATATAATATGCTGCACTGACCTTGTGTTTGTCCCAATTCGTGTCATCTCATCATAATGCTAAAGATCATAATAATAGAAATGGCCATAAAACTTGGCCAAAACAAAGCTATTAGCATGTTAATACATTAAAGTGTACTATAGTTGACATATTGCTATATATGTTTATCTTGTCACATGATCAAAACAAGCTACTTAAGGATAATTTTATAATGTTTTTCTTGGGGTACGGTAAAATATATTTATATTTTTAGGTAGGCCATGAGGGTGGATGGATTTTCACTTTTTGGTTAGGGGGTGGGGTAGTAAGTTTACTTTACTGTGCTCAATATAAGTTTAAAAAGTTAAAATACGACCTTATGTATAAGATATATTGCAAAGTAAATCTTAAATCTCACTATTACTGTACTTTATATCAACAAAAAGCTTTACATCTCCAGATTTACCTTACCCTTTGTAGATGTCAACGTTCAGGATTAAAAGCATATTTTTAGACGCAAATCTACTGTGTAAAATTTTCAAAAGTACTCGGATTATCTTCACCTTTCCAAGCTTGTGACATTTTCTATTGAGACGGATTACTGTAGGGTACACAGGGATAATCGCACGGTGTAAACAAGAGCTTGGTATTCGAGTTTTTATTGCAAATGTTCTTTACATATTTTTAAAATTTTAAGAGATATGTTAAGAATTTGATTACAAGATGCGATTTTACGTTGCATTGTAACTGTAATTGTATAAAATTGGTATGGTAAAGTGGGTTTTTGGCATAAATGTAACAACAAATCATCATGATAAAGAGTAATTATAAAGTAGTGATACAGTGGGATAAAAGGAAAGCAAAACAAAGCAAAATTGACGAAAGGGTAGGGCAATGAAAAAGCTATGTTTTGGTAAATGTAGTTCTAAGGTGAATATTGGGTTGGGTAAGGGTAGAGCAAAGGCAGGCACCGGTAGGGCAAAGGAAGAGCAAGGTCAAAGCACGAGGAAGACAAGAGAAGAGCAAGGATAGGACAAAAGCAAAGATAAGGCAAGGCTAATTTTTAAGTTAACGGTAAGGCAATAGAGGAGCAAAGATTGAGCAAGGGTATGGCAAAAGTAAGGAAAGAGTAGAGGAACTTCAAGCTAAGAGTAGGGCAAGTCTAAAGCAAACGTAGGGCAAGGATAGGCACGTTTAAGACAGGGATGGGGCTATGATAGAAGACGGGCAAAAAGAGATAATGATAT